TCAGTTTTTGGAACTAATTATCAAACGTTTAAATATCAAAGAAGGTAAGAAACATCGAACCTACTTTCAAATGCCATAGACTGCAAAAAAATGATTATTTTTAGGTATCGTTCGTGTGGGTAATCGATGTCAAAATACAGTAATTCAACCATTTTCTTTACTGAACGCTCGTCGATCTGCTCGTGATAATCGGTCAATACCTCGTCACATCTATCACCAAAAACATGCCATATTAAATAGAAAAGCGGAAGCGGAAGAAGCATTGAAGGAGCATAGTCATAAGATCGAACATTCTCGGACAAATATTATACAATTAACAACATTTACCAATAGTTACATTATCGATAATGTACACCGATCTTCGCTATTAGCTCCTTACAATGACACGCTTGAAGAAGCAGCACTACTAGATTGGTTGGGTATTGGATGTGACCAAGTATTCGAAGATTTCCATGATCTCATGGATGTAGAGACCAATATGTCTGAATTGAATCTTAGCGAGAATATGGACGAGAAAGAAAGTGAGAAGAATGATGAAGCAGTAGAAAAAACAGATCAAGAAAACAAACCTGTGGACGGTGATGAGCGCAACGAGAAAACAGATCAAGAAAACAAACCTGTGGAAAGTGATGAGCGCAACGAGAAAACAGAAGAAATCAACGAAGAGGAAGAAGAAGAACAACGTCGACGTGACGAACTCGAGATCGAAACAGAGGAATTTATTCAATCAATCGTTTCAAAACCAAAAACATCCGAACTAAAACCAAAAAAGAACTCCGCAACCACAACTGCAGATGACAATGACGAAGAAGAATGGCAAGTTGTGAAGAAAAAACCATACAATCGTCGTCGATTAATCCAACATATTCTTCAATATCCAACCACATTAACTGATGAAACCATTGGACTTATCAACAACGATGTTTGGCAACTTACACTAGCTCAACGTCACGATTTGTATCGTTATTGGTTATACAAGTATCAATGCTATTTACATGCTTCCGTTCGTGATGCACGACAAGAGTATAACCAAGCAGTGGCTGATCTGGCAACATATCTTCAAAATGAAGACTATTTTCTTTTGAAAGATAGTATCATTGTTGCAATGACAACGACCTGCGCTGCGAAATATCATTCAGTACTGGAACAACTTCGTAAGCGACAGAAGACTTCTTTCCAACAATTTGATTTGACTCTCTTTAGAAAACAAAATTGTGATCGTTGAAGAAGCAGCCGCAATATTCGAGCCACATATCATTACTGCATTAAGTACAAAATGCGAACATTTAGTTTTGATCGGCGACCATATTCAGTTACGACCGAATCCAAGTGTATATAATCTAGCCACGAAATATCACATCGATGTATCATTATTTGAACGATTTGTTAACAATAAATTTCCCAATGTTCGACTAAATATTCAGGTATGTATTTCCTTTGATTCGTTTGTTTTCATCCAATGCATTCTTTGTAGCACCGAATGCGTCCGGAGATCGCTCGTATCATGAAACATTTCTACGACGATTTGGAGGATCATGAAAGTGTTAAAACTCAAAGACCAGAAGTTCGTGGTATCAATACTAGTGTGTTTTTCATTAATCACAATAATCTTGAAGCCAAAGTACAAGACGGAAGTTCGAAACGAAATGAATTTGAAGCCAAATATGCCCTTGCGTTAGCGGAATATTTGATCAAACAAGGTTATCGAGGCGAACAAATCACAATCCTTGTTATGTATCTCGGTCAACGACAGTATATCGCTAAACAATCAAAGCATCGCAAGCTCTTACATGGTGTTCGTACCATGGTAATATCAGACTAGAGTTTAGATACTTGTGATAAAAATGCTCCTTTAGGTCACAGATAACTATCAAGGAGAAGAAAATGATATTATTATACTATCGTTGGTACGAAGTAATGCAGAGAATAGTATAGGATTCCTCAAAACAGATAATCGAATTTGTGTGGCTTTATCACGTGCTCGTTGTGGCTTCTTTATTATTGGAAACATGACTTTATTAGCTGGCGTCAGTGAAACATGGAAGAAAATTGGTAAATCATTAGTTGAGAGCGGTGAAATTGGCAGAGGTTAGGCCATTCGATACGAAGATTACAAGTAAATCGAGAGATTTTCATTATTAGGTCCATGTCTTTCATGTCGCCGACATCCGAACGATAAGTTTATTGCTGAAAAAGCAGAATCTTTTGAGCAACGTCCCGAAGGCGGTTGTAACAAACCGTGCGATGCTCGCTTGAAATGTGGCCACCAATGTACATTAATGTGTCATAATTATGACTTCGAGTAAATCTTTTGCTAGAAGCTCAATGCCTGATAATTTCGCTCTTCCCTAGACACAAAGAAATTGTCTGTCGAAAGAAATGTGATGAAATCTTACCATGTGCTCATCGATGTACAAAACGATGCCATGCTCCCAATCCAACTCAACACGATCCTTGTCGAGTACTTGTTGACAAAATCATTACACCTTGTGGACATCCAATAAAATTCCAATGTGCGGTAACACCGACAATTAACGACTGTCAAAAACCGGTATCAAAACGACTCCCTTGTGATCATATCAATGATGTTCCATGTCGTATCGTTTCATCGCCATCAGATTTGAAACGATTTTCTTGCCTCACACCTTGTAATACAATACTTGCATGTAAGCATAAGTGCGCAGGAACATGTGGAAAGTGTCGAACTGGTCAGTTACATATTCCTTGTCAACAAAAATGTGAACGTGAATTAATTTGTTCACATGTGAGTAAACTTCAGTATCAGGAATTCAAGGTAAATCTATGTTGACTTATTTGTATTTAGGTCTGCAAATCAAAATGTGCTGAAAATTGCCCACCTTGTTTACAGCCATGTCAAACACGTTGCGTTCATTCGGGATGTCGAAAGAAATGTGGTGAATTATGTATACCTTGCAAAGAGGTAGGTCGATAAAAATGAATCTAGGATTTCAATTAAAGTAGTCAAATTGTTAGTGTCTAGAACTAAAACCATAGAGTATCTCCATCGTTACATATATGCTTATATTTCAGCCGTGTGCTTACAAATGTAAACATTTGGAATGCACTCGTACGTGTTCTGAGCCATGTAATCGTGGTCCATGCAATGAACCATGTGATAAGAAATTAAAATGTGGCCATGATTGTAGGCATCGATTTTCAAAACACGATTTTTAACGTTCTTTACCATATATTCAACTTCAGGTATTGGTATTTGCGGTGAACCATGTCCTCGTCAATGCCGTGTTTGCAATAAACATATCGTTCAAGAGATCTTCTTTGGCACAGAAGATGAACCTGACGCACGCTTTGTTTTCTTACCTGACTGCAAACATTTAAGTATGTTATTTGAAGTGAAAGATCGTTGTGTCATTCTCTTTTCATTTCTTATCAACTAGTCGAAGTTACTGCATTGGACAAGTTTGTGGAAGACATAATTAATAATAAAAATGAAAAAGTGGCTATTCGTTTTCCTGAATGTCCTCGATGCAAAACAAAAATTCGTCGTTGTAAACGATATACTCCGATTATCAATCATGTTTATAATCTGATTGCGAACGTGAAACAGAGAATCTTGGGCAATCATTCTGAAACAGAAATAGAACAACGTCGCAAACATGTAATTGAAGAGTTCGATCGGACTCAAGACAAATTACAGGAAATGGATTTTGCATCAATACGAACGTTTCGTGATATATTGAACAATGAAGATACAATTTTCTCCGATGATATCATAACACTTCTAGAAAATATTATGATATTCTTCAAAGAAATCAATTCACTTCTGACTGATGGACGACAGAAATTGCCCAATAGTACTTTCGAAGATTTTGTATGTGCTTTTGTTTTAATTCTCCTTCCTTCACTTATCGATTTCGTATAGGTGAGTGCACCCCTGAACTATATCGTTCGGTATCTGCTAGTACATCGTCAACATCGCAACTTTGCTCCACAACAAATAAGTGACATCGAAAATGAACTAACACGTATTCGTCGTTTAATCTACATCGAAGCTCTTATTCGTCTGTCGACGCCGCAAATTACGGCTCGTAGTTTAAAACCAGACGAACAAGATGGTCTCGACACAATGCGGCGCCTGACAAAGAAAACAGGTCCGTTCACCGAACAGGACAAACAACAATTCGATGTTCTTGTCAAGAAACTGGAACATATGAACAATCTGCCTGGTTTGGGTATAAATGAAAAAGAACGTATAACGATCGTAAATGCATTAAATCTAAGCAAAGGTCATTGGTATAAATGTCCCAATGGTCATCCATATGTCATTACTGAAGTATATGTTTACCAGTTAGTACAGAATGTAAGAAAAAAGCTTGCTCTTTTTTATTTAGTGCGGAGGTGCTAATCAAGAAACTCAATGTCCCGATTGTGGAGAAAAAATCGGTGGTCAAAATCATCAATTGGTTTCCACTAACAGTCATTTTGGTTTAATGGACGGATCGCAACATGCTGCTTGGTCTAACGAAGCTAACTTGGCGCCTAACTGAGCTTTTCTCTACGATTTAATTCTTCTTAGGTGCTTAAAGACATAATGCATACATGCATCATTAATATATTTTACACGTATTCAAGATATACTGTTGTCGAATACAGAATAATTCTAGTATACCCTCAATTACTTTCATCAATTTGTATTTACGAACTCGATTTAAAAATAAATCAAAAGCACAGTCTGTGTAAGAATCTACAAAATTTATTAGATCGATATGGAGTAATGTAAACTGTGGGAGTCGTTCTGCGCAATTCCATTGACTTTCATTCCTCGATTAATATTGACATAGTGTTGACTAAATCTTTGATTTATTTTCGCAAAGAAAATGCACAATTTCCATACAAAACTATCGTTGACATCACACTGTGTAAACGAAAGAAAAATAGACAAAACCAGTTATCTTTTCTTATCAGCGGTAAAAGAGCATTCTCATTTTCATAGACACAATCATAAAAAATAAATCTCAAAGTTATCTCAAATATTGACCTGTTTGTTCATAGATAAGTTTTTGAACTCGTTCAAAGCATGTCTGATCGCGAAACCACGGATAACGAAACAATTGAGTCATATCCGGTCGAGCAAATGAATTTGTCTCTAATGTTTTCACAAGAATTTCCTTCAGTTCTCGTTTTGAATAAGATATTGAGTTCAACGCGCGAATACCTCGTAAGCGAAAGACAGTGTCACCCACATAAGCATTGAGCAAAGTCATACCGAATGACCATACCTAAAACAAACTTCATTGAATAATTCTGCTTAGACTCAACAGAGTCGCAAATGGGAATATCGTACATCAGCGTTTGTTGAATGTCCGGTTTGTAATAACACTTCTGGTGCCATGAATTGCTGAGTACCAGCAATGGTGGTGTTCAAATATCTTGACGATGCATAGACATGTTTTGCCACACCGAAATCACTCAGCTTTGCAATTGTTTCTCTTTCATTGGACATTAGGAGAACGTTGGCTGGTTTGATATCTCGATGAACCTAGAAAAGAAATCAAAAGGATAACATATTGAGATGGAAATTTCGTTTTCAATTTACGATTTTAAGTCGATGAAGATAAGCGAGTGCGCAAGCTATTTGATAAAAGATAAATTTACATTCTTCTTCGGTCATTAAGTACGTTTTGTGCATTCGATCGAATAATGAACCACCGCCAGCATATTCCATTTCAACAAACAGATTTGATCTCTCATGAAAAACCTCAAAACGACGAAGTATACACGGATGATCAACACTTCCATGAATTGACCTTGAAAACGAAGAAAAAAGTCATGATTTCTTTCGTTTTCTTGATTAGCTGTCAATTTACACTTCTCGATAGAGATATTTGGAAAATCCTGAACCAATTTGTTTTTCACATTGATCTTTATTGATAATTTTAATCGCACGGCGGACTTGCGTTACAGATGAGATCGCTTTGTACACGTTTGCAAATGAGCCGGAGCCGAGTAGATTCGCTTTTAAGTAACGTTCGTCAAGTTCAACGGCATTGAATACACCCGATAGACGAATGAAACGATAGACTTGATTTTCCTTGACAGCCAATGATCTAAAATACAGACACATGGACGAAAATGATGCTATTGTAAATAGCCTGTTGACTAACATCACATGTTCGTGCTTTTCCAACGATATTTTCGTTTGATTAACAAGTTCCCCATCGATATAACAACCATTTCTACTTGTATCATGAAAAATGACCGTTTGACCATTGTTTGTACATTGGATGATGCAATGTTTGGAACTCAAATGAATAAAATATTCATGTTGTCGAAGTTCAGTGGAATCCAAAGTAATATCACAATCATATGGATGACGTCCGACGATGTAAGAAGACTTTGTTAAGATCTGACGGGGATAGATTGGATTAGCCGGTTCTAAATAACCCCATGGTATTGCGGAAGATGAAATCATCGAGAGAATAATCAACGAATTCAATGTTCAAACAGAGAAAGAAAGACAAACAATGCGAATGCTCGTCGACCAACTGACCACTGTTGTCGCTAGAAATTGACATCGCCATTCTTCAATTTTTTCGTTCTCTTCTTCCTCGTGTCAGCGTCTATGTGTTAAGTGTGTGATTAATGATTATTTAAATAAACATTTTATCAAATCGATCTCTCGCACTCATACTTTTCAGTTCTTCATTAGGAAAAGTCAGCATTAAATGTACTGTGTGTATTACAGCCATTTGTTTGTAAATATGATGACGAATTCGTGCGTCAAAGCGATATCAATTGACAGGTGTGTAGTAAAAGTACAGAAGTAGAGGACAAGAACGACATGCATATATATTTCGCATATTTCTCTTCGTACTATTCTCTCGCACGAAAACGGGTCGTCAGTAATATGTGGAGAGAAAAAAAGGCAGAATATTGCGCGATTCTCTTATATTCCTAAATATAGTTTACTTATTTTTCTCATGTATAGTTTCATACAGGTATGTAGCATGTTTTTTGTCAGTCGTAGACCAATAAAAACCGATCAGTTCACTTGAGGGATACGTCATACGATATTTTACGTGAAGAAATGCCGTCTGTTCTATACTCAACAGTATGTTATATTAAAAATGAACATCATCATATGTACATCTATGTGGATGGTGCACAATCTGATTCGACAGAAGTTCAAGCGACAAGCGAATTTGCATCGCCTGACATTGCCATTGACAATATCGATCCGTCGCTAACAAAAATCAAATTGGAATCAGTAAGTAAAAGAAAGAATACGAATATTCCCAAAGTAATTCACCTTAACAATTTGCTGCACGTTCAACATATAAAATCAATAAGGAAAAGAAAACGTAATGTTTATATTAGCACTGATGCTCTCACCACTTTCGAACCAGTACCAATAACCGAACCTTCAGCAGAAGGAAGTCACGCAACATTGAATAAATCAACTTCTGAAGTTGTTGTTGTACCATCGACTCCAGTATTGCCTCGATCATACAGTTTAAGTCGACTGTTTCTCGGTCAAAAAAGTACAGAGACAGAAGGTCATGCAGAGTATAAATTTGCGGTGAAACTAAGTTATATCGATGTATCGAATTCGATTCGATGGAGTATCAAAAGATTAGAATTCGAAGTAGAATCAGAAGATGTGGCTAATGAAGTATGCGTTAATTTAAATCTATGCTTATCAACATTGAAACAACGGCCACGCCATTTATTAGCGTTCGTTAATCCTTTTGGCGGAAAAGGTAAGAGAAGCCACTCTATGGCAGAGATTGAATGAGGACTTATGTAGGACGAGCACCTGCTGTATATGAGAAAAAAATCTTACCGATATTCAAAGAAGGGAATATCACTGTGGATACAATTCATACACAACGAGCGAATCATGCACGAGATCATATTTTAAACGAAGATTTGAGTGCTTATGACGGTCTCATTTGTGTGGGCGGTGATGGAATGTTCGCTGAATTATGCCATGGTCTGCTTTTGAAAACATCTCTTGAAGCCAATCTAGATATTGACGATCGAGAAGTTAATATAAAACGACCCAATTTACGAATTGGTGTTATACCAGCTGGTTCAACGGATGCTGTTGTGTATGGTACAACTGGTTTGAATGATCCTGTGACTAGTGCACTACAGATTATCGTGGGCGAATCTTTACTAATTGATATCGCAACGGTAAGTTAATTGATCTGTTCCTGATGAATTTTGTCTTATGGTCAGTTTTAAGGTTCATAACGAAAAAGGATTTGTACGTTTTCTGGCAACAATGTTAGCCTACGGATTTTTCGGTGATATTATTAATCAGTCAGATAAATGGCGTTATTTAGGCCCATTAAGATATGACTTATCTGGATTTTGCCAGTTTGTTCTTAATAGATCTTATCATACAGAATTAACAATTACACTGTCTCCGCATGACTCATCACAGATGAGCCGAGAAGGAACGACGCCGTCATCATCATCATCATCGACGAATAACACTAAACATGAGGATCATGGAACACATCCAACTGAATTAGTCAATGCAAGTAAATCAACGGGAAATCAGAACAATCAAGTCATTCACAACTTAATTGCACCAGCATTGGCATTCTGTAGCAGAAATTGCGAGATATGTGCTCTAGCAGATAAACATGACAGTGGTAAAGTTCGATCATCTTTACAAATTAAACGTCAAGGAAGATACACAACAATCAATTGTCTTAATATGCCTGGACGATGTGCTAAAAGCAAATTTGGAATGTCTCCTTTTGTACATTTAGGTATGTAAACATAATATGTCTGTTGGAATGCATAAAATTCATTTTAGGTGATGGAACATTTGATTTAATTCTTGTGAAACGCTCTTGGCAAACAGGTTTTCTTCGTTTTCTCTGGCAAGTCGCAAATGATGGTCGATCCATCGAAGATTTACCTAATGTTGAACGCTATCGTGTTAGTGAAGTTCTCATTCATCCATTGCATACCGATCAAATACGCCGCGGCAATTGGGCGTGTGATGGCGAGCTTATATCTGGCGCTGAAATTAAGATTCGTATTCATCGTCAAGCACTGAATCTTTTCGCATCGGGCATACAATTCGATAATGTCGGACAAAATAACCCTATTCGCAAATCTTCGACAAATATCTTATAAATCAATGTAGGGTTATACAAAAAAGTTTTTTTCTTTTTTTCTGCGATTGTATTACTTCCTTTCAATGAAGTCACAATTTGAAGTAAAAATAAATCATGAAGTAACACGCTTCGTTAGAGGACATCTATGAATCATCTGTTTGACACGAATACTTTGGTAAAACAACGTAGGGAGAACATTGTCAGGATAAAGATGATGACGACAGTAACTTATTAACGCGCAATTTATCCAAAAGAAACGAATAACCACAATAGCAATATATAGAAATATTTGATTGATTGTGTCTTATTATTGTCATCGGAACAATGATTCAATGAAAATAAACAAAATACATCGACGAATACTATGAAACACTTGTTTCGCTTTTCGAAAAGAACGTCGATTTAGTTGATATCAATATCCACACGGATCTGTAGACCAGCAGCTAATGTTCCAAATGAGAATAGATATGGAAAACTAAAACGAGAAAGACATGGGATTTGTCATTACTAAACACGGGAATTTCAATCTTACATAATAGCAGCTTTCCAAGCTAACGCAAAAAGAAAACGAAAACATCGTGTCATTATTGATTGTACATGTGTATATGTTTGCAAATTAGATGATGTCGTTAATAATGTTTTCAAAGCTAACATCATTTACATTGATCTAAACGAAGAAAAACAACGCGTGTTGTATCAACAAGAAGTCACAAGGAAAACACGTTAAGTTATATGACTCAGCCGCCCACATATTCCATGACTGATATTCCTAAGAAAAGCCACTCAGATTATCTCCGCTTCCATACATTTCCTTGATATTACTAATCAACAGAGTATAAATAACGAATGCTGTCGACAGCATGATGGTTAATCGTGTCGATAGAGAGATCATGGGAAATCTACATCCAGCTCGTAACGAACGACCAGAATTGGATGAACGGGAACTGTCGTATATCGTCCTTCATACTCGTTTCACACGAAAACAGATCAATGATTTTCATATTCGTTTTCTTACGTATTATCCACGCGGTCAAGTTAATTTTGATCAATTTTGTCAACTCTATTCTCGTGAATTAGAACATTTACGCAATTCTGGACCATTACTGGAACGGATATATCATCACATCGATACAGATAAGAATGGTCTTTTAAATTTCAAAGAAATCTTATTCTTCAAAGCAGTCAGTATGCCAGAAACAGATATCGACGAGAAATTCCGATGGATTTTTTTTCTCTACGATACAAATCACGATCATCATATCGATAGACACGAATTCCTGCATCTATGTGCTTTCGCATACAATACCCACGGAAAAATCTTGACAAAATCTCGATTGAATGAATTAAATTCATTCTTCGATCGATTTGATGCTGACTCTGATGAATATTTGAACTGTAAGGAATTTACTGAACTATGTAAACAGTGTACAGATCTATTTGAATTAATTACACCTATGTTCAACAATGCCCAATGGAATTCCAAAGCGAAAGATGATCATCTACCGAAATTTCAGACGAAAAGCAACGAACTTACGTGCGAACGACTTGGATATCTATTGAAACGAACTAAGTTCACTCGTGAGCAAATTTTACACTATTACGAAGTCTTTCAATCGCGCTGTTATGATGATCGATTATCTAAAAGTGAGTTTGTTACTTTCTATCGAAAACTACTACGATCGAACTCTGCGGAAACCTATTGTGAATTCTTATTTCGCGCTTTCGACAGTCTCTTTCACGATGGTTTCATTCAATTCGATGAATATCTTCTCGCTATTTACATTCACAGTAATGCAAGTACAGCTCGAGAAAAACTCGACTGGCTCTACAATGCTTACGATCGTGATGGAGACGGATTTATTACTTATCATGAAATCGATCAGATTGTTCATGCACTTTTCATTTTAAATAACATTGATCGAGAAAAACACAGCGTGGCTTATGTCGCCTATCGGATTATGGCTATCTTAGACTTGAATGATGATGATAAAATCTCCAAACAGGAATTTATGAATATGTTAAAAGATAAAGAACTTACCAGTTTTTTGGCTCCATCACTTGTGAAACAATATGAAACTAATGTCAAATCAAATCGAAATGAAGAAAAACCTTGCAATCTAAAGAAGAACGATCCAACGAGAGTGTGAATCGTTGAGTACAAACACCAATCATGTACTGTTCGATAGATGTCGTTCGGAAAATCTGTTCTGGATTTTGGCACCTCGACGATGCGTTTTCTTTTTCTTTTATATATATATTCTGATTCGCAGTTTTGATAGATAACTCCGTGTATTTTTTCTTTTGTTATCTCTATGACCAATATTTGCATTGATATAATAAAATGATTAGATATACGACAATAACAATAACAAATGGATAAACCGACATATCACCGTCATACGATGATTGTTGGTTTTTTGTATACTAGTGGATGGGTGTGTGTGTGTATGTGCGTTAATGTTCTATAAGCTGAGAGAATAGATGTCTGCGTGTTTTATTACTTGTTAGCACCGCTTGGATTTCGTTTGTCGACATTGCAGATATGAAAGCAACACGTCTTTTTGCCCTTCGAAATCTTTTTCATGCGCGAACACCATGTCGAGGTGAGTTCACTTAGAAAGCGAAATCAGAACTAATGGAATGATGGTTTTAGCAAACAGCGTACTTAGTCAAGAACCATCGGGACCAACGATGAAAACGACAATTCCCGTAAGATATTTTTTGCGATTTTGTCAAGATTAACTTTTGTTTTTCTAGGGTCCAAGGTCACAGCAATTCACGCATGAACTTGAGAAGACACAAGTATGCTGATTAGATAAACAATTATCTTGAAGATCTATTAATTTGATTTATTACTATAGAACGCTTTGAGCACTATTTTTGTTCTTGATGTTGATAAATCCGTTGGTAATTACGCTGTTGATATTGATGGCAACGTTATGTTGGATGTTTACGGGCAAATTGCTTCTTTGCCGTTAGGTAATAATGATGATCAATTGAAATAAAATTCATATAATAGAATTTTTTCCATTCAGGTTACAATCATCCAGCTATTCAAAAAGTTTTTCAAGATCCGAAAAATCTTGTATGACTTAGTTTTTCTTCGCATTACAATCAATGTAATTCTGTTGTCTGTAGAGTCAACTTGTTAATCGGCCGGCACTTGGTGTTCATCCTACACCGCAATTTATCAAACAGATAGATCAAACACTTCTACCAGTAATTCTCGATTCATAACTCATTAAAAAAAACACTATGCTTTGCTTTTATAGATTGCACCTAAGGGATTAGAATATGTTCAACCAATGATGTGCGGTTCATGTTCAAATGAAAACGCATTGAAAGCGATTTGTATCTGGTATGCCACCAAACAGCGTGGTGGCAAACCATTTACAGATGAAGAATTAACATCATCGATGATTAACAAAGCACCGGGCTGTCCCCAAGTTAGTATAATGTCGTTCGAAGGAGCTTTCCACGGAAGAACATTCGGTAAGAAACGTTTCCTTCGATGTCTCTACCAACTACATTGGTTTCTCTTTTTAAGGAGCACTTTCATGCACGCATTCGAAGCCCATACATAAACTCGACATTCCAAGTTTTGATTGGCCCATCGCGCCCTTTCCAAGATATAAATATCCTTTACAAGAACATGAACGTGAAAATAAGAAAGAAGATGGGAGATGTTTAGCACGCGTATGTATATTCTCGATTGCTGTCGAAACACAATAGATAGAAACTTGTGAATTAGATTGAAGAACTGTTTCACGAATACAAATCCAAAAACAGCCCAGTTGCGGGTGTTATTGTGGAACCAATTCAAAGTGAAGGCGGAGACTATCACGGTAGTCCGGCATTCTTTCAAAGACTGCAAAAAATAACAAAAGCTGTATGAGATAAAATGCATAGATGACAATGTAGAATGTTTACTTTTCACCATAGAATGGAGCAGGGCTATTAATTGATGAAGTTCAAACAGGTCTTGGTGCAACAGGAAAATTCTGGGCATACGAACATTTCAATTTACCTGAGCCACCCGATGTGGTGGCATTCTCGAAAAAATTTCAAACAGGTGGTTACTTTGCCAAAGCAGATTTTCAACCAAAACAGGTACATTTTGAAAGAAAAACAAATGAACAACAAGTCACAAGTTATTCTTGTTTTGTAGCCTTATCGTATATTCAATACCTGGATGGGTGAACCGGCAAAATTATTGGTTGTAGACGCTACATTGAAAACGGTCAAAGCAGAAAATTTAGTTGAAAATACACGAAAAACTGGCGACATACTTTTGAAAGGTCTCGAAGATATTAGTAGAAAACACTCGAAATTAATTCAGAATGTTCGCGGCCGTGGAACATTCTGCGCATTCGATATGCCTGATGCATCGACACGTGATAAATTCATTGGTCAAATGCGCAATGCTGGTAAGTGGAGTCTCTCGTTGAAAGATTTCTGTTCGATTCGCATTTTTAGGTATACAAATGGGAACCTGTGGTGATGTGACCGTTCGTTTCCGTCCGGCATTGATATTCGCTGATCGACACGCTCATATTGTTCTTGACAAGATGAACGAAGTTGCAAAGAAATTTTAACGGTTTTCTCTCTTTTATTTCCTTATATTATTTTTTATTCCAATGTCGTAACATGAAAACAAAACTAGTGAAAAACTTCTCGATAGAATTACTTGAATTAAGTTTTTATCGGTGTTTGAGCGGTTAGCAGCGCTGACGAGGTTGGATTTCGATACATTGCTGATAGACGTCGTTCGGCTTCATATTTTTGTCGTTGTGCATCTTGTTCTTGCTGTTGTGCTAGTCTTAATTGATGTTGTAATGCTAATTGTTGAAGATTAGCCGGGATATTTCCGGGTGATAAATCTAATTTCTCATTCGAGACGTCTTCGCCCAAACAACTGAACGGACCAGCGGAATTTGTACGAAAACCATGAATAACATAGGCAAGAACCAGAGCAGCGAAAACGAATGATAACAGACCGATTGCAATTGAACACTAAGGAGAGTGACAAGCGTGCTTTTATGTAGAGAATTTCGCTTACCGTGCGCCAAAACTTCAACGCATAGATCCATTGTTTATAATTCTCTTCGGGTATACGTACCCAATCTATATACGTATCGTTTTTTTCGAAATGTATCAAACCAAACGGTCCTTGTTGGCTTAGATATTCTTCATCATGAATAGCTGCGTGGATACAAGAATTGAGAATTGAGAAGACAAACAGAAAATGATGTTGTATGAACATAGGATAGTTAACGAATAACTTTCTTAAAATCTTATTCAGATGACAGAGGTTTGCTCTTTTTTTTTAGAACGAAGACGAATAGACAAATATGAAGAAAAGCGGGAAGTTTTCGCTTATTTTATTGAATGTAGAAGATGAAACGTCTTGGTTTTGCCTTGAAATTATAGTTGTCCTGTACTTTGAAAGGAAACAACCTGACGAGGATCGATCGTTGTATTGTACATGGAAAGATTATTTGTTTGAGTATAATCGATCGTATGCGATGAATTGATTTTATCGTCCGATCGATTTTCATTAACATTCTTCCGGCAGAGAGAGAACGGACCGGTTAATGTGCGGAAATTATGAATAAGATAAGCGATTAGAATGACCAAGAATACGAAACATAGAACACTTAGCATGATTGACCACTAGTAGATAGAAAAACAAAGTTGAAATAAAGTTCTCAAGCAAGCAGCGATCGTTTGCTCGTACTCGACGCCACATTTTCTGATCTTGGATCCGTTTTGTCATGAATTCATAGGGTATTTCGATGAATCTTGCTTTGTTTTCATCGATATATGAAACAAAGTTCGATGTATCTAACGATTCACCACCGATAGCACGAGTTTGTTCTAATAACTCTTCGTTGGTATTCAATTTCGTGCATAGAACAAGTTGTAAGATTAGCACTATGAGAAGGGTTTTCAAATGAATTTGAAATTGATCAGAGAAAACATAGAAAAGAGAAGAGAACATTTGATAGTTATCGTGAGGTGGAGAAGGACCTAGACGAAGAACGTAGAATAAAGAGAATATTAGTTGATTTAATCAATTCAATGATTAAAGAGCGGGAAATGAATAGTAGATTTTTTATGAATACTTAACTACATGTTTTCAGTAGTTCGTAAAATTTCATTCAGCACGAATATATGAAGCTCATTGCGAGAATGTTGCTATTGAAATTATGTGAATCTTATAATAGCACTTACATCCATTAGTACACATAATTTTCCCCAGTAATGATTTCTACTAGGTGGGTTCGTTTAATCATGTTGGTTTTTACACTACGTAAGATCGATTTTTTGTCATTGTAATCATCTGAGACTTATCAGAACACCGTATTTAAGTAAAAAACTCCTGGATGATAAGGACATCTGTCGAGGAGATCTGCACATACATAACGAAGTAAAAAGACTGATAGTAATCAGTAGGTTCTTTTTGCACGAATATTTGCGATGCGTACTTGGGTTGGGTAAAAATTTGTTTTTCACAGGGTATTAAATGGATGCTTAGTTCTGTTTTTCTTTTCATCGAAATCGTATAACATTGATCTTTCATAGCACATCAAAATCAAAACTGAATATAATATTGTAGTCATTCATACTCACGAATAATCAAGGTCCTATGCAGAGAAAAGAACGATAATGAGATTAATTATTAATGTCAGCGATTATGATGGCTGATTTTGAATAGATATTCACCTTTAAAATAGTTGAAAGTATTTTATCTGATGAGATTTTTTTAGTTAACAGAACTATGTTCCTGAATTGACCCAATTTTTCGGCAATAGCTTATTGAAAATATTTTTTTTGGGAGATGTAGTGTCTGAATGAATCATCATCTAGAAAAGTGTTTGTCATTGTGACTTTGTATCTTTCTCTTCTAGATTTTTGTTATTTTTGGTAATTGGAAAAAGGTCGAGCGAAGAAGAAACAAATGAAACCGTAGCGTTAATACTATAATCGTGTGCTAGATGACGGGACTCTTATAGACAAAACGAAAAGCTGAACGTTTCATATATCGTATATGTTATGATAAGTAGTCGCACACTTTGCTTTTCGAATTTATAAACAATGAATTTGAATATCGAGACTCACGGCGTGGAAATGAAAGATGTTTCAGTGAAAAAATCAGATGAACCAATTCTTACTACTGTTGATAAGTACCGTTACCCATTGGTATGATACTTGCACCTTTCGTTTGAATATCATTTAGTATACTACTACCAACCAAATCTTAATAAACTGAAAATTCCATTTCACTGTGTTCGTATCAGCAGACTTGAAATTCTAGTTTTATTCTTAATGCACACAAAATGAAGTGCTAGTTTGTTCAATAAAACTGCATCTCTGTAGAACAATATTCCGTCGATGAGAATAAGTTTTCTATTGCAATAGTTTCTATTAGCATATCAGTATTTGATTTTCTTCGAATTTCCCTAGATATTATAAAAGAATAGGATTCATAAAATGAGTGTTGTGAAATTAGCATCACCCTCGTCGACACGTATCGGTTTTATCGGTATTGGTGTGATGGGTACTTCAATGGCTGGCCATTTAATCAAAGCAGGTTATAAACTGAATGTATTCACACGTACAGCATCTAAAGCTGATTCGCTCGTGTCATTGGGTGCGTCATTTTTCAAAACACCACGTGAAGTTGCACAACAATCAGATGTTGTTATTTCGATTGTTGGTTATCCAAAGGATGTTGAAGAAGTATTACTTAATGAAAAAACAGGTGTACTTCCTGGTTTTGAACCAGGTAAAATATCCATTGATATGACAACGTCAAAGCCATCATTAGCAGCACGAATTTATGAAGAATTCAAGAAACGTGGTGCATATGCATTGGATGCTCCTGTATCAGGTATGTCCTGAACAAAAACATCAATTTTACGAACTCTAATTCATCAGTGCTCTTTTCTCCTATAGCCGTTTTATCATAAGAGGAACTTTACTGTTACTCATTTCTGTTCTTCAGGCGGTGATATCGGTGCTCGAAATGCTACCCTTTCCATCATGGTTGGTGGCGATCAAGAAGTTTTCGATGCTTGTTTACCAATCTTCAATGTAATGGGTAAAAACGTTCGATTAATGGGTAAAGCAGGCTACGGTCAACATACAAAGATGGCCAACCAAATAGCGATTTCGTCCGGTATGATTGCTATGTGTGAATCATTGCTCTATGCCCAACGCGTTGGCCTTGACTGTGAAAGTGTTATACAAGTATTAAGTTCCGGTGCAGCTCAAACATTTTCAATGTCAAACTATGGTCCACGCATACTTAAACGTACATTTGATCCTGGTTTCTATGTTGAACACTTTATCAAAGATTTAGGGATCGCATTAGAAGAAGCTAGTCGAATGGGTCTTGTTTTGCCTGGTTTAATACAAACTAAAATGCTCTATGATATATTAGCTGCTGATGGTAAAGAAAAACTTGGCACTCATGCCTTAATGTTAGCCTTGGAAAAAATTAATGGTTTTGACACAGCAAACGGTGAAAGAAAAACATCATAGTGAGAGAAGGTTTCGCTTTTTTAAATGTTTTTTTTTGTGATTTTGCAGAATTCATGCAAAGAATACATGCTTTTTATCACAGTGAATAAAGCATACAAGTAGATGAAATGAGATAAAAACAGCAGGTTAAAATGTCTTTCAGCGAAAGAATACTTCGCTCGTGCAGAATTATGCAATGTTGACAACAATCTCAGACAAATAAATATTGAAGCATGTCTAAACTACGCGGAAGTGGGGAAAATGGTTTTTACCAACCATGCGTATTGCTGGGTTTTTATAATATATCACACGTCCTCATTGAGGAAACATGATTAGTTTACGATTCACTCCAATTATATGAGAACATGAAACGAGTAGTCAAAAGTTGCATCAATGTCGTTATTTTGACTTCTAGAACACACTAAGCAAAGAGCTGAACATATAGAACAACACTAATATGAGTCATGTCATTACATCAGAATTGCATAATTGCCTTTTACAATCCTATAAAAACCTTTGATTTTTTATTCAAAATGTAAATACGCTTCACTTTTCTGATGAATATGCTAGGAGAAAAAAGTAAAAGCTATTGTATGAATCTGTCGTCCAATGATTTGAATACACGCCAATGTCCACTGATTCAATACGGTTGTGAACAACATCAAGAGGTATTTGGCAAACATTCCTTAGATTTATTCCCTCCCACTTTGAATAAGTATATAGATAATTGTTAACATTTAGGAGCATTACATATCGGAGCAGCATCAGAAAACGCTTGCTACGGTAGCGGAGAATATTTTTGAAAATGCAAAAGTTGCTTCTGATATCGAGAATATCAGTGGTGAACTTGGAACTTGTTTTGATAACTGTCAAGAAAAACTTTTAACAACGTTGGACACTGTAGATGAAACCAAAGACACGCTTGAACAAATCGATCGAAATCTAATTCGATTGGAAAATGAACAATCTGAATTAGACGAAGGAATAAATGATGCAAAAACAAGAAGTACGATAGAAACATTTCATATTGATGGACTTGTTTTGAATCAAGATGTCCTGACTCAGGAAATCAAAGCTATAAAACATCAAGTTGACTATGAAGGTCGTCAAACGAAACATCGTGTTCTAGATGGAACACATCTTTGGAAGATATCCGCTGTACAGGAAAAGATCCATGATGCTCAATCAGAACGTCAAACGAGTATCTATTCCCCAGCCGTTTATACATCTGACTGTGGTTATAAAGTATGTATGCGGCTTTATTTGAACGGCGATGGCACTGCACGCGGAACTCACATGTCTATTTTTCTTGTCATCCTTCGCGGAAGTTATGACTCGCTGTTGAAATGGCCTTTTTCCTATCGAGTGACGTTTTGTCTCTATGATCAACGAACTTTGATGGAATCTGATAAAAATAAACAACCAAAACATGTTATAGAATCATTTCGACCTGATACGCGAAGTGCTAGCTTTCAACGTCCTACCTCAACTATGAATATCGCTTCTGGTATTCCAAAATTCTTTTCTTTAGCAAATCTCGACCGAACAGCAGAAAGAAATCGATATATTATTAATGATACTATGTTCATTAAAGTGTTCATAGATTTTACCGGATTACCTACATCAATGACCCCTTTTATTTTTAGCTTTAACATGGCTTTACCTGTAAATGTGCAACAAAAGTTAATTAACGACGAATTGAAACGTCGCGAACAACAAAATACAACTTAAATAGCTAAATTGACCAGCACAACGTCTGAGTAAGTAATAGAAATTTTGAAAATAGTTTCATATGCTAATATAATAATTTATTTTTATGTTGGAAATCGTTTTTCGACAAGTGTATTTTCGTGCTCTATTGAATTAAAATACGAAATAAAGAAGAAAAAGTATTATGTTGTAATAAACTATATAAAAGAAATGACTTCGATTCTTTTCTAAAGCAATTAGACTAAGGATTAGATGCAATCCTTAAAATATAGGAGATAAAGTATTAATAACAAAGAATTACAGGTCTGTCGCGTGATATGCTACTTCAAACACATAGTCTGTCGACATTTCGATAAAATTTCGAAGAGTTTCAGGATGACAACTGAGGTGCAACATTGAGTCTAAGAACAAAATCGATAACAGTTCATTAAGTTGTATACCATAATCTGAATAACAAACAAGTGGTTTACTCTAATTTATACGAAATATTGATTCATGTTAATCGTTTTTTCGATCGTTTGCAAATAGCACCTGTTTTTATCTTTTCATCTGAAACGATTACACACTAATACTTCGATATTCGCCTATAAAAGATAACAGTTTTTCTCATCAAATAGTGAATCGGTCCGACTCTTCTATCTCTAAAACACAAACAAGACAATGTTGAAAGTCATTCTTACTCTTCTCCTTTTAGGTATTTTCTTTCGATTTTTCTGAAAATTCATATCTCCTTTAATCACTGTTATCACACATTAGGTATTGCTGTCAATGCCAAAGTCAGTCGACAAGAACTCACTGCTGTCATCAAATCATTGGAGACAGCCGTTCAACTCGACAACAAGTGTCAAACATCCGCTGATTGTTCAGTAGTTGGTGTTGGATCCCGAGCATGTGGCGGTCCAAAGAGTTATGTTGCCTATTCAATCAACAGTTCAAATGCAGATGATATTCGTTCATTGGCACAACTATCAACTGAACTTGAACGACAATACAACGCAGAAAACCAAGTAATGTCAATTTGTATGATGGCTATGCCACCAACAGCTTTTTGTTTTGAAAACAAGTGTAATGCTGCCTAATCATTCTTATGAAATGTACGAGCAGCTCGCCATGAAGCAAAAAGCTCGTCTTTTCTTCCGATCATTTCGAAATAAAAAGTAGAAAAAGAAAAGTCAATTATGATGCTCATAGTGCAACATGCATACCGATCAAAGATCAAAACTCAAAAAAAAAACCTACGTAAAACACTTTCGTATCTCTCTGGATATAAAAATAACTGAAAATAATATATGCAATATTGATGGAATAATAAATACTCCAGCTTCTATGAAATCAGCCAATCTAAATGCGAAGATATCTATATATTGCAAAACAATCTTAGCCACCAGTGATGTTATGAAAATCTACTTGAGACAACAATATTTATTTTCGGCCACTGCATTTTATTATTACCAAAGCCACTGCACGAAGGAGTCAGATGGTTTAAGTCTTCTTTATGTCAGCTGCACAATCGAATAAACGTAATGTGTAAGTCAAATAGATGCAGATGCTTATTCAATGTCTATGTCAGTCTGGTATTTAAACTAAAACATGAAGATGCGATGAAAGAAGTCTACAAAATCAATTTATAATCGACAGTCATTTGTGACAGAACGTTAGATAAATTGTTCAATGAACTACCAATAAAATTAGCCAAGAAAAAACATCGAAACAACAAAAAAACAAGAAAGAAATCCGATTTGTCATATTAAGAAATATCGGAATAAGAAAAGAAACTACGAAACAGAAGAAATGACTTTTCTCTATCTCATACTTATCTCTAACATAGTATATCCACATTTCTGTTCAAACTCCATGCGAACGAATAATAAGTCCGCTGTTGCAGTCCTTGAAACTTCCTTCCTATCAAAAAAGATACGTCGCAATGAGCGTTTTCTCTCAGCTTATATATTATCTAATGTAGAAATAAGTTCGCACTAGAATATCCGGACTTTATTTTGGAGCACTTTTTGATTCAGGGTATATATATTGTATTGATAAACGTCAACTAATGACTTATGTCTGTTCACTATGAACAAAACTTCTTTCAAGAACACTAGGTTTCTGCATTTTACTAGTCTTTAAATAGAGATATGTTCGGAAGAATTTCTTGAAGAAAAACAAAGTCTGTCATTCTGTAGACAGTATGAGTCTATTTCACGCATCGACATTTGCTTTTAGTCTATTTGTAGAAGTGCTTGGGAAACAAATTCAATGTCTTTGAAAGCACATCGACGTCGATCAAAACCTGCGAGTTTGTTGAAAAGAACTGAATTTTTAGCTTGTAGAATGTTTAATCATACCAATCTTTCTCGTTCAGATGACGTCGGACAAGCATTTGAAGAAAGTGAAGAGAAAAAAGCGGAGAAGTGTCGTCTGAATACACTGTTAGACATGGAAATTATTGATCTGGAGCAAATTCATGAACGAGCGTTTTTTACAATGGACAATGTAACTATTGAACTCGTTCTAAATAAAAACATCTTGAGTTGGTCAAAAGTAATTGTTGATCGTAAGTTAAATTTGTTGCACTAAATTAAATATTTCATCGATGTCGTTTCAGCGTCTTCAGAAGGTAATAATCCTCAAGAGAGAACATCGAGTTCAAGCGACATTGATTTCGTTGATTTACACCTTGTTTATGCTGTATTACCTGTACACTATCGAAGGAGTTGGTTATTAAATGACAGAGATAACCAATCGACAGGAAACACATCGAGTGTCTCACCAACATCTTTACGTGGATTTGAATTGTACTCTTATGAGAAAACGGAGGATAGTAGTCTACAAGAGATTCGCATCTCTTTTCAAAGTAATCTACCAAGTCAAATACATCAATGGTATCGACTTCTTTCGAAAATCATCTCGAAATGTACGGAAACTCTCAACGAAATCTTCACCGTTATCCAAATAAATTCTTTTCCTAGACAAACCGGTACAAAATATACTCGTCATCTGTAATCCATATTCCGGTTCAAGGTATAGTCGACAAGTATACGATTCGAAGATTCGACCTATACTCGATAGAACGCAGCATAACATTATCTATTCGGGTAAACGAGAAACGCATAACTATGTTAAAGATCAAAGAATTGTTGATTTTAGAAATTAGTGAAGCGTGCTCAGTTAATGATATATTAACTAATCTAAAAGATGCTTTCAAGGCACTAAATAGGTAATAAAGAAAAGGACACATATTGGTACTGTTCTTCTTTCTACTAAAAATATGTCGTGTTCTTAGTTTAATAATAATTGGCGGAGATGGTACAGTAGTTAACGTACTTAACGGATTACTTCACTATTTAACACAAGAAAATCGAACCAGGTAATTCATTTCTTGTTTTTTTTTACTTATAGCTACTATCATACCATCGAATCGTATGTAGACTAGACAAAGATCAAGATTTACCACCCATTCCATTTCCATTGTGTATCATTCCGACTGGTAACTCATCGTTTATGTTTTTCATTGAAGAAACTTTGTAATGTCTAGGAACGACAAACGTTATCGGTCATTCAATTTTTGGAACGTTGGATAGCTGTACCCCGATTCTTCATTTACTCTTTAGTAAATAAATCCAAGATTATGTTGCTTTTCTGACTTGACTGCTGCTATTTTAGATCAACAAATGAGAATTGATATGTCAGCAATATTTGATACCAATTCTGAATTTGTGACAGTTAATTTTGGTTCTGCGGCAGGTTATGCAGCAAATGCGCTGAAGTATTTTACACAGTATGCTTCGTGTAGCCCAAAAAACTGTCTCCAGAAATCATTTGGTAAAGCAGCAGCAACTAAACATTTAAGGCAATGATTCTCGGTAACATGAATTGTTAATTTTTTTTTATCTTTCATAGGCCTATCGATGTTCTAATTCGCTACATTCCTGCAGAACAAGAAACTACCGATACGACGCGTTGTTTTCAAGGGTAAATAGACACATCTCATGGTCTCGTTCACAAAGAGATTGTTATAATTTCAGCTGTCCCAAATGTATGCCAACCGACAGTGGAAACACAATTGACGAAGTCAAGACTTTTCATGATACTGATGTGAAAACAAGTGACACCTACACGAAATCTTTGAATAAAACGTCTTCTTTACGTAAGAAAACGCGTCCTCAAGATACACACGATCAGCCATGGAAAACTCTGGAGAATAGATATCTACATGTTGCTGTATTAACCAATGCTGGTCTGTGGTCTCTAGCACCTCAAGGTCTATCGAAGTTCGGTCACTTAGCTGATGGCTTATTGGATCTGTTACTAATTGAAGAAACGCCAAGAAGAGAATTTGTACGCTCGATTAAACGTAATGGCAATTCGAAAAATCAAGTAACACAATTGACGCGACGTTGATTCGCTTTCTATAACTTTTTACTCTAGTACGACTTTCCATTCGCAAATCTGATTAAAGTGAAAGAGATCGAAATCGAGCTGAAACTTTCTGCTTTGAGCGCGTCTGATGGAACTCTGGATTGTGATGATCAGTGCACTGCTGCATTATCCGATGATTCATCCGACGAAAGTGAAGAATCAAATAATGGAAAAGAATTATCTCCAGCAAAAAAGTATGAGCCACGCCCATCGAATGCATCAATATCTGGTGATAATCAACTTCACCGTCGCAGTTATTATCACCAAATTTATGACGAGACACAGATACCATCAACTCGATCAAATGTTGAAGATCGATGTTTACCAAGCGGAGTCGAGAGTGCGCAAACGAACTCAACGAAAACTAAATTAACGTTTCGTCGAAAATCAATCTTTCAATCGTTGAAGTGGAGCACAACAAAAATTTCTCTACCACGCCAAGCCAGTGTAGACAGCAATACATCTGAACGAAGGAAAAATTATCAACGATCAGTTAGTAAAATTTTCGATCCCACGAAAGTAAAAAGAGATTCTATTCTGAAATTGAACCTTTTGCATTTGAACATCAATCTTTCTAGTCATTTTTCAATCTGATAATCGGTGGAAACTCGTCAGCAACTAACAAACAAGATTTACCATCTAGTCCAGTAGATCGAAGAAGATCATCTGTAATCAGACGACTCTCGTGTGTAGATTATACTCGAAGATCCACATTAAGCAGAATTCAATATCGAAAGAGGAAACAACCCTGTTTATGGAATCTCGACTTCACTCCTTACAATTCTCCGTTAATCCGAATTAAGTACGATGTTGCTAATACTGAACATTCGATACTATTCAACAAACATTTTCTTTATTTTAGATGTTTTCCTCGATTCCTACCAGTTTTTGGTCTTGGTCCAAATCCGAGTGCATCCGTGAAAGACATCAGCTATTCGTGTTTTGGACGTATCGGTTAACACAAAACTCTGTGCTTCTGATCCCTCTAATTCCCTGACATCTGGTCTAAATCTTCTATTTCTCTAAACTTCTACGTCATGTAGGCGATATGATATTCTCGTCGCACAAATAAAAGTATTAATAAAACTCTGTCAGACATTTCAAGTATATCCTGCAATTTGATCTGCCGACAGGCACTTTAACTCGGCTTCTCAATTTCTAAATAGGCTTTCTGTACTTCTCCGTTGATGTAATAATAAACACGATAGATGTTGTCACATAACATTTTTTGTCTTGTTCATCAAATACAATAAGCTTTCTCCGCGAGATTATCTCATATAAACATACGTTAAGCATATGGCGCAATGTAAGAATGCATTCATTATTTATTTATTTAATGTGCTACAATGAAGAGAAGTCAGGAACATGCCGTACTTTAATCTGATTGGAAGTTAAAAAAGAAAAAAGGAGAAAAAAAAGACGAGTAAAAAACAACATTAAATGTATAAATATATATATGTGTATGTGTGCATTACTAATAAGCATAAGTTTCTTTCGTTCTTTTTAAATCAAAATGTCATCAACGACCAATATAATTTGGTTACAAAGTCATCAAGACGAACTTATTCCCAATGAACTCCGTTCTCATGTTGCTCTATTCACAAACGAAGATGCATGTTATCAATTTCTATGCTCATTATCAACGGCGATACGTGGTCTGACACTTGTGATAACCGATTCGAACATACGCACAGATCGTCTGGTTGAATTGAAACCAATTTCGTGTGTTTATATACTCTCACCACCTGTCTCAAAATCAAGTTTGAAACCATCTACAAAGTTTCATGGATTTTTTAAGGATAGAAAAACTTTAGTTGATCAGATCTTATCTGATTTAAATCGACGTAAAGCAACGAAACCTGGCTTCTTTTCGGGTATATTTGCGCCGTTTCAAGGCCTCTATTTTATCCTCAAACATAAATCAACATGGTCACGCGCATTGATACCATGTCTTATATTTACTTTACTTCTTTTTGTCTGTGCTATACCAGGCGTTTGGGGTATGCACATACTGACGGCTCGTTTAATTCAAAGAAATACTTCGCGTTTAGCTCGTGTTGGTATTTGGATCCTTCGCCTTGCAGCTTACTTCATCGCCATTTGTCTTTCATTGATTATTGCACTTCTAACTGCTCAACCATTGAGTTCGCCGGCATTGGAAAGTCTAGTGCGAGCACAAGAGCGTGAATTGAAATATCCCATTCGACCTGAAGAATCATTTTGCTCAAGTGTATGGCGAAGCTTACGAATCGCAACATTTTCTCTACTTATTTCGTTCGTTATCTTCATCGTCCTAACATCTATCGAATTCTTTGTGCCACCATTGATCTTTATCACTACTCCGCTGAAGTTTTTGACAACTGCATGGATTATTGCCTACGATATTATTGACTATCCATTGTCATTACATCTACTTGGCGTTCGAGAACGAACACCGTGGTTTCGACACTATCTCTGGGCCACAATGGGTTTCGGTATATCAATAGAAATGATGTTTCTCATTCCGGGCGCATTCTTTCTTTTGTTACCGGCGGCTGTTTGTGGAGCAACACGTCTTGTTGTCGCAGCTGAACGAGCGTCTATTGATCAACCGTTATTAATGGATGATGAGGCTAGTTAAACGAACAAAACAAACCTATGCAGAATAAATGGGTTCTATTCTTCTTCTGTGTTTTTTTCAGTTCGTCAGATTCGAGTTTTGATAATTATTTTTGTGTTTTTCTTCGTTTTCGAATAATAAATACTTCGGATGTGATCGAAAACAGTTTCGACTAATATTGTTGTGACGTCAATATGAAACAGTCTACAAACTTACGCTGCTAAAGGTTTCTTTTCAAGGTTGCGAAACAAAAGCTCGTAGGTGAAAGCATTCGTGCAATCGATTTTATTCCAGAAAGAAAAACAAAACAACCAAATCTTTTCGAAAATCACGAAACACGTTTTTCATCCACACATGTTGAGCAATATTTCGAATGTAATGATCGTCTGAATCAACATTCACACGTTGAGACATGTCTAGCTACGAACGCAAATTCAGTGTACTATTGTAACCGTCTGAACAGAGAAATTATTTACTTAATTTTCACAATTGTTCTACGAGAGTATGTTTATGAATGAATAATCATCGAACATCGTACTAATTTCATGCCATTGAAAAAAGAATTTCAACTGTCTACTTTTATATCGCTGAACATCAAATTAAATATTATAACCTTTTCAACAACAGAACCGATCAGATGTGAACGGTATGTATCGACCTCTATCGACGGATTAATATTACATCCGGACGATATTTTGTCGAAGATTCATATTTAAATGTTTGGGAAACCGATAAATTTATATGATTCTCGCCGATCTGATACATTAAGACGAGGTATCAACTATGGAGGCTTTTGCTCTTCTTCTACTGCTCCGAATAAAACAAAGGCCTGCAATTATAATTTAGTTCACCTAGCGCTACATTCACTAACAATCTCTCATTGGCTGCAGCAGCCAATCATCTATTTCTTCCTTTCTGTATCTACGTTATAAACGAACAAAGCTGCTCTTTATATCCGTATCGTATAGCAAGCATTGTGCACGATATTGAATGCGAACGGCGACCTGTAGACAATAGAAAGGCGAATAATGACCATGCCTGACCAGACGTTTGTTCCTATTGTGTTCTCATTAGTAAAATATCGATGCACATTGAAAATGTCAAATTACGCTAATGTACTCGAGAAAGAAAGCAATGCTTTTTCTTTTCTTCCAGTGGGAAAAACCACAAACCAAAAATGACATCGTTATCTTCCTAGATTTCGTCATTACATTGTGTCTCATTTGATTTTCTTTCAGACGATTGGCGACATTTTAGATTGAATTAATTACTCAAATCAGATAAAAACAATGGCTAATCGATCATCAGCATCCTTACGAAGCCGAAATACGTCTTCAACAGGTAGCACAGGTGGATTGAATCTGTCTCGTGCACAAGAAAAAGAACAATTGGAAACACTAAACAATCGTTTGGCTGTTTACATTGATACTGTTCGTCGTTTGGAGCAAGACAATAAAGAATTAAAGGTGAAGTTTTTTAGTTTACACAATAGAAGTGTGTTCAACGTAGTGTTGTTTTTCGTTTTAGAGTATTATTGCATCTTATAGTGATACATATGAAGTCGAAACATCGAAAGTCAAACAATTGTACGAACGCGAACTTGAAGATGCGAAGAAACTTATCGAAGAACTTGCTAGAGAAAAGTCACGCTTAGAAATCGAGGCTGAAAAATCGAATGCCGAAGCACAAGATGCATTAGCGAAGTATGTCGACTTCTAGTTGAGAAAATATCTGTTGGAAACATGCTGGTTTTGTCTTTTAGACTCGCTCGTAAAGAACGAGATTTACGGGCTGCTGAAGGTCGTTTGAAACAATACGAGACCGAACTGAGTGACTTGAAAGCACGCAACGACGCACTTGGATTCGATGCGAATCGAAAAACTGATGAGAATGTGGTAAGTTGCGCGGAAACTAATAAATTCTACGAATTGATATTTGTCTTTGTCAGAGTTTACGTGGTACTAATGCTGATCTCGATAAACAAGTGACGGCATTGAAACGTCAACTTGAATCCGAAACACTTCTTCGTGTTGATCTTGAGAATAAAAACAAAACATTACGTGAAGAACTTCAATTCAACGCTCAAGTCCATGAAACAGTAATTATCTATCAAACTTCGATTTCATCTCGTATATTTCGGTTTCTACCCTAGGCTATCNGGGCCGTTGTAAGAAACGAACATCTTCACAACTCCAAGCACATCAAAACTCAAGATCAGTTCTTCTCGAACGTCTGCCCTTTAGTTTCCGACGTGCCACTATGTGTTACTATCCTTTTTTTCGTAAGATTGTTATTATTGATGTCATCTAATCATTGTTCGTGTCTGTTTTGTATCTATGTAAATGAGATGTGGCAAGAATGTTTGAATCCTACGGGGAAATTAATTTTTTCATTTTCCTCTCGCTTTCTCTCATTGTTGGTTAATGAAAAATATTTTCTTAATTATTGTTGAAATTCATTAAATTCGTTTCAATACGTAAATATAGACCTTAGTTTTCGTTTGATTTTACAGGTACCGACCTCCCAGATGATGATTATACGACCTTAGTACCGCCGGTGAAACAAGTCAATGGTGCAAATCGAAAATTACCACAAGTACCAATTATTGTAGAAAACAAAGAAAATGAATCACCGACTGCAAAAAGTATTTGAATACGAAAGCAAAGTTCTTTTTTTTTAAATATTTTCTATTGGATTTTAGCGAAAAGATCTCATGCAAATACAACTGATCGACAGAAAACCAATGTAATCGGAACATCAAGACGACAACTGAGTCTTAATCGTGGACCGACAAATCGTGCTCAATCGGCTCCATCATCACCCGCTCTGTCACATAACAATAAACAAAAATCAAGACGGAATCAAATGTTGCTCGATCACATGGATATAGTAAGAATTGATGTTCATCAATTATTCATAGCTGTGAAAACGTCTTTCGATCTGTTAATGACTAAGCGAACGGAGACGACATGATAATTCAAGCATATCTTGTGCCAATAGATAAAAGTTCATTCTTTATTCATTCAGAGTTAACTGAATGCTCATCACAGTGTAGCACTCTCATTTCCTGAGAATCTAGTTACTGCTTTTAACCGTAATAATCAAGTACTCTCAAAGAATAAAAGCACTTATTAGATATTCACCTGAATCGTTTTCTTCCAGGACACAAAATCTATATCAAGTGATCAAGGTTCAATATCGATTAATGGTCCAAATAATAGTTTATCATCAGGTTCACTTGAAATTCGTTTGAAATTTGATGCTAAAAACAGTAAAATGTGGGTTTTCGTTATCAAAGCATCATTAGATATGAATCAACGTGCATCAAAACAATTACTTGTACAAATACATCTAACTATGTTGCCAAATAAACGAATTCGTTTTCGTACACGAGCCAAGCCTGCTGATAATGCGATGTTTGCTGAAGAATTTTTCTGTAAAGTCTCACCTGGTTCGTAACATTAAGAGAAACTTGATCGTATCTACTTATTTCAAATTTTCCCCTTCAATTAGAATCGATACAAACACAAGGCATCCGGTTTCGATTATACACAAATGAACGTTTCAAACGGGAGAAACTTCTCGCTGAAGCCACAGTCATGTTTGGTTTAGTCAACCTTGATGAAGATATGTGTAAGATCATTCCATTAGAACGTGTTTACGTATGTATAATATCCGATACCACATCTGTCACCAAAACGCTGCTCTATTTTAGATGTCTGATGATTCGGATGTAAGCAGTTCACGTTCACGAACAAGTAGCATCGCTCCGTCCAGAAAAAATTCTGTAATAACGAGCACAGGATCGAGTAGTTCGCTTTTACCCGAACTTGAAATCGGTCTAGCTTACGATAGAAATCAATCAATACTTATTCTTGAGATAGGAAAAGGTATCAATTTCGGTATGGCGTCACAAGGACGAGCACCAGGTAATTATTTATTGTCTTTAAATGAGCTTTTCCATATGGCCTCACCTCATCTTTTTAAGACGCTTTTGCTCAGATCACACTTCTCAATGCAAATGGTGTGGAAATGCTATCGAATCGCACAGTTACACGTCGTACTCAACATCATCCTGTTTTTGCTGAACGTTATCCATTTAACATTCAAGAGAGTCTGCTCGATCAAATCACACTTGTAATTACGATTATCAATAAAAGTTCCACAGGAAAACATGATCGAAATCTTGGATGGATATCATTCGGTACAATTAGTTTTTATTCTTTTTTTCCCTTGTCTAAAATATTCCTTTTGACTTGATGAACTTGTAGGACACGGTGCCAGTGGTAATACTCAAGTTGCTCATTGGGATTCGATGCTCAATGCACAAGGTGACACAATAACACGATGGCATGCTTTACTAGAAAGTTAACATGAAAAATATCTCTGTTGTTGCAATGCACTTCTTTTTGTCTTTGTCGAGGAATGTGTACACAATGATGTGCTGCAGGTGGTTGTTTTTCTTTTCTTGGAATAATTTGCTTGTAAAATATAGAAGTTAATTGTCATACGAAATCATTTCACTTTTCTAGAACGCAAGACTAAAACGCACAAGTGATCGTCTTGAAAGTCATAGCACATATGAATATGCATGAATAACCTGTCAGTTCATGCAAGTAGTGGAAGAGAATAACGTTTGGAAAGTGGTTTTACATGAATGAAATGTACGTTTTCCATCAAGAATTATTATAAAACTTAGGAGGCATAAAAAAATTCTGAACCCCGCTGTTTTCAATTTTGTACAACCGTAAATATTGAATGTTTTCTACAGCAATGTACAGTATAAGATCTCGCCTTTAATAATCAATAAAACACCTCGATTCTGGATTCAGGTGTTACACTCTACTAGATTAATTCCGTAGTTGCTATAGCTAAAAAGAGATTTTGACAGCATAAACTAAAATAATATGAAAAGCAAAAAAAAATATTTACAAGGTTATTTTATTAGATGCTCAAAATAGACATCGCTATTCTATGATGGAAACCTCCCGAATCAGCGATTCTTTGCTTGCATGATCAGCCAAAAATCACTCGGTGGATGTGGAGTTGTTTCGATGCCTTCTTCTGTTGAATAGTTAACAACTTCTCGACGAACATGTGAAGGACCATTATCATGAGCGAACTGATAATTTGTTCGTAATGAATTTGCTTATTTTATTAGTAATAGGTACGAGATGGATAGTCCTACCTCTATCAACTTCATGTATAAGAACAAGCAAAACATTGATCTAGGCTGAGATCTGCTCCGGCAAACACTGGTTCTTGCTGGATCATTTTCATCAAGCCACGTACAATTGTCTCACTTCCGACCAGCCTACAAAGTCGAAGTCGTTTTTGTTCGCTAGTGACCCAAACAGACAAGATCCCTGGAAAAACGTGTGTACACCCTCATGAATATGATGAATCTGCTTTAATGAAATTGTATCGATTTGTTCTAGTCTGAAATCGAAAAGAAATTAGGAACAAAACAGTTCTATGCTTAATTTTCGAATGAGGTTATAGTGTTACGGCACTGTACTTATATATATAACGTTCGAACTGACCGTTAGAAATTCAATCATCAACAAGGAATTTTAACAATACTTCTCGCTTGATCTTCAGAAAAGGTCTTATTAAAAATTGTAAAACTACTTTCCCCTAAAATGTTGATTAGTTTTACTTATGATAAGGTTGCTAGAGCTTGAAAGTTCCCAAAAATTCTTCAAGATCCTCAGTTCATATAAAAAAGTCGAAGAATGACTATGCCTTCCGCTCTCTTCACTTTGCTGAGTGGTACATATACTGACGCTACTTGCAATGTCTGAAACGGAACTTGAAGATCGACTACGATTTTGTCCATTGTGAGTCGAGTAGCTGTCTAATATAGGTTCAAATATAAGCGAATATTTAAAAAATATACCTTAAGATAAAATCGGTACCGAAGAACGATATAGTTTTACTTATGCATACCTATAAATCATATTTAAATATAGTTTCACATATATGTGAGTTATGATTAAGTCAAACTAAAATAAATCTATTCCTATCGATTTCAAACAATTCCTATTTCTATAAGAGAATATATTAATGAACCATAAATCTGTCAATCAAAACTATATCTAATCCTACTATATACTAAAGATTTAACTTTCGTTTTGTTCATTTATCTTTGAAGTTAAGGAAAGCAGCTGAGTCTTTATTTATATTCGAAGTTCAATTAGACAGTTCATTACTTAGATATTCATAAAAAAAATTGTCCAATATTTTTCTGCGTCAATTTGTATTAAATTTATTGAAACAAATTTTTGAAAAATTACTTCAAAATAGAAACGAAGAAAATGTTATTCAACTGAAGTAAAATAAAATACTGATAATTTATAATCTATTACATGAGTTTTTATTGATCAGAAATTTTTGTACTCGGTGATTGAATGTATCAGCAACGTATAGATTTCCATATGTATCGAAAATTAAATCACTAGGATAAAATAGTTGATCAGATGCCGTACCACCACCACGTCCACCAACAACAAGTGTACCTGATGTAGCACCTTTTAACCAACGCATTATTCGGTGATTATTTGTATCTGCTACATAAATACTACCTGAATCGTCGACTATAACACTTCTCGGATAATTTAACTGATCTTCAGCTGATCCAGAATCATTTGTTCTACCAGCTACGACAATACCTTTTGTAATTCCTTCATTAAATTTCATTATTCGATGATTGTGTGCATCAGCTACATAAACAGATCGATATGAATCAAGACGTATCATTCGAGGAATATTTAAACCTAAAGCAACTATCTGTCCAGTTGTTTGACCAAGACGCCATTTAGTTACTTGATTATTTATATAATCTGATAGATAAAAAGATCCTTCATTATCAAATGTTATACCAAGAAGGGTAATATTTCCTAGAATAGTTTTTCCACTCTGTGTATTTTGAATCCACCGTTGTAAACGCTGATTTCCCCAATCACCAATATATATTGTTTTATCTTTATCCATAGCAATATATTGTGGGCTATTCAATTGATCCAAACGATCACCCTTACCATTTCCACCAGCAACTAACGAACCACTGGAAACATTTGCTTTCCATTTAACAATTCGATGATTTGATGTATCTGCTACGAAAATTGTTTGATCATCATCAATAAGTATTCCGATAGGAGTATTTAATTGATTAAATGCGGAACCTGACCTATGACCACCAGCTACTGTTACACCATTTGGTGACCATGTTGCTGTAGGACAAATATTAGCCTGACATTTAACAAATAATGGCAAAGCTAAACAAATAAAATTTATTCAAATAGAAATTCAAAATTCAATGTAGAAAGATAATCTTGACCATACTTGATAAACTATAATAAAATTGCGTTAGATTAGTTATAATTAATTAAGAAAAAAGCTATTAATTACCTAACAACACAGAAGAAGATTTGGTAAATCATGCTTCTCGAAAACATTGAAACAAAGATATGAATGATGAATCACAAGATAATATTATCTATATTTATGCAACTCCTTTCGTTCTTTTACAAATATGAGAAAAGATACTATTTTACTTTCAAAGTTGAAGTATTTCATATAAAATTAGAAGAATTCAAGATTACTCATCGGTTTTCTTATTTCCTTCTCTGAAAGGAAGGGTTATAAAGCGTTTAAATGCTGTGCTAAAAAGCTTAAAGTTTGTCTGTCTGTCTGGCCTATCAAATCAGAAAATAGTATTTCTAAAATCAATGAAATTGATCGATGGTTGTGAAAAAGTGATTACTGTTCGGGGAACTTGAATCTGAGTTTACTTTTTATTAATTAGTTATTAATTAATTGTTAACTAGGCATGGGTTATTCATATGCAAAGTAAGGATTGACCGAGGGGTAATTGACGTCGATGAATTCGAATATGGCGTTTGTTTTAACTAATTATTAACTAATAATTAGCTTATTATCAACTATGCATACAATAATAATATTCACACTAAGGGTTGACCGAAGGGTAATTGATGCCACAGAATTCAAACCTGAGCTTAGTTTTTTCTTATTCATCAAGCTTTAGACTTCTTCCTTTCTTCTTTCAAAAGAAATATTTTTCTGTGTGTTTTACAAATTCTGTTGTAGAAGGTAGTTGTTTGTTAGGATACGTCAGGTCTTTCGACAGGATTTTAGCCAATATACATCGCAAAAAGGTATAACGGAGGCAGTCGTGATAACGGCTAGTTGTGAGTGGCCGACGAACGACTAGACGTTAGAATTCCAGATTCACCGTAGAGTATACATGTGGGGCAACCTTATCAAAAATCAAAGCTTTTTAAAAGGAATTTCGCCAACGTTCAATGAAAATATTCGATAGGGTATCATTTTCCTGAAAGTATAGAAAAGAAGCAATTGTTAGCTGTGAAACACAGCTCACATCAGACAACTACTCGCTGACAAATGCCTATTTGGGTTCGTTTCATGAAAAAAGAACAATATTTGCTTTATATTAATTCTAACGCGTGACACAGTATCATGATTCAGCTGAGGACTCGTGACAATCGCAGTGTCTTATGTGTTTTTCAAACCGTTTGAACATGTTCAGCATCAGAAGAATTCTTTCAGGAAAGGACCGGCGAATTCGAAGGATGAGCGCTATCCTTGTTTATTGAACGATATGCATTTACGTAATTCGTTTAATTCAATTCAGAAAATATGACGAAAAGTATATTATAATAATCTTTATCAGAATGATTAAATTTGTTTTAGTTCGATAACGGCTGCAATAATGTTTACTTTTTCAAGTTTGTACAGATTCGTTTCCATATTGTGTTGACGATAATAAATAAAGAATCTATTCGAAAAAGTTGATCACGATCGCATTCTCTTCGATTGAAAATCATCATATACATTCATATCCTGTTTTTCAACACAAGAAATTCAGATGATGAATGATCCGATTCGATATTACCGTGCAAAAAGACTAACGAAATATTACAGGCGAGATATTTCCCAATCCTTTTCACTATTAGTTTCTGTAGTCCGAGAAACAATATCAAAAAAATTGTCTACCAGTGGTTTAGTATCTATGGAATTATCAATGGTGACACCATCGACATATACTTGATAACATGTTAAATACACCCTTCTACTAGTTTTTGTTCTGACAAATTGTTTTTCCGTACACACACTCGATGAACTCTCGAATAGTGAATTCAATAAAGGATGTTATAGACACTCAAATGGAAGTTGATGTCGTTCAATCTGAAAAGAAAGAACTTGTCACCGAAGAAACTAATACCCTTCTGAAAGTGAGTCGCTTTTCGCTTGTAATTTATTATAGCACAATTCGATGACGGTGGAAATGTGCTCATCGAAAGTAATGCAAAATTGTACAACTGAAATCGATTGAGATTGTGCTTTAGGCTGCTCAAGAAAACAACAGATCTACATATGTGAAATCTCTTTTAGAAAATTCGAGTTTTTTAATCGTCACTAAAGAACCAATCAATATTTGCATTGACCCATGCTTAGTCCTTTTTTACATATAATCTGACGTGAAAGTAGACTACGAAACCGACTCTATTCTACATGTGTCCTAAATGGTAATCGATAAATGTCAATTATCGATCGAGGTATATGTATGTCTTGATGATATTAGAGCAGATAATTTCTTCAGCTGAGGAGACGTCTCGGACTACCATAGTAGCGTATAGTCCTATCGGTTTTATTATTGTTATTATTTACTGAGTTAACCAAAACACGACTAATTTGATATTTAGTATAACCAAATGTGCACTTTTCGGATTGTTTTCATTGAAATAGATCTTTCAATCCAATCATGCGTCAGAACGAACATTAATTGAATCGATGCACCGCTCAAGCATCTTCAATAATCGACAATGAAATACTGCTGATAGAAAATACGCCAGCCATTATAAAACGAAATCCAATCACGCAAATGTATTTGGAGGAAAAATATCATATGAAGAGGTCTATTGACAGTCGTTTTATTAAGCTCTCTATCATTGTATTCATACATCAAGGCTTTCTATTAATTGAGATGTGGAAGCAGTCCTTTTTATTTTTTTCTATTATATAAAAAACTTATTTATTTATAATTAACTCATTGAACCGTTCAAACGAAAAAATATTCCCATGAAGTAGACAATAAAATTCACTAGAATAATCGTTTTCCTAATTAATTTTATTCTATATTGATATCGATCAGCACGAACAACTCAAATTCCCAATACTTCAGATCTCTCGTATTTCTTAACAAATAATTTTAATTATAGAAAAACAAACACTCGTTTATACAAATCGAGTGAAGTGGAATTAAATCTATTAAAGAAGTGTATGTATATATATATATATATATATATCTAAAGACAAAATGCATATCGACACAAATGCGCATATCATATACAACAAATGTTTAACATTCATCGCCTACAGCCAAATGACTATTCATTCGCTTAAATCGTACTGCATATACCGGATACTTGTCATCCATCGAGGACGATCGTTTCTGCGTAAGTGTCGCTGCTGTTAATGGTGCCGTTGAGACTGTTGTGGTCGGTGGTGGTAATTGTGCGAGGCTAATCGTTTGAAATTTTTGTCTTCGATAAACCGAACCTTGTTTACAAAAATATAGCGCAACAATATCACATATAAATGTCGCCAAACCAAGGACACCAATCATTGAGCCTATGTTGAGTGTTAAAACCAGAAAGTCGAATCGACCAGCTTCACCGTTAACAGTAACGATCAAACGTAAACCAAATGCTTTAGTCAGTGTGCGATGGGAATTTGTTCGCCATTTCCAGTGCGATGCATAACGAAAATTAAAACCGAACGAAAACTTTTCTTCTTTATATCGAGAATCCAAACGGCCAAAAGAATATTTGGGTTTGCATTCATCTTCACCTAAATCTAAATTACAAATCCAGTCGATTTTAATCCGAACAACGGCGCCGAACTGCAGCATTTTAGCGCGTTCTTCCGCATCTGGTTCGACAAAATTTAGTAGATCTTCTACTCGAAATATTGGACAGTATTTATCGTTAATCGGATGATAGTGACATGATTTATCACCTTTTGAATCATGAAATATGTTCGTTCTGGAAACATTAAAACGGGTAAATTCAACGAAATTTTTCACAAATACAGTAAAATTTAACGAATCCATCATTGGACTTGGCATATCGAGATCATTCTCCACGGGACACCAGCCTTCGATTTCACAGCGACCTTCTGAATTACATTTTCCTGTCCAACGTCCATTACTCTTTGAAGGGTATGGACCAAATTTAGCACATTGACTATCGTTGGTACATTTAGCATCTTTTATATCGAATCCTTCACCGCAACGTCTCGGTTGTTGATCTGTACGAATAAAATTAGTCATTATAAAAATAGCATTGTTTTCTTGAGGTGGTATAACATAATCCGCATTGTCTAATGTCATTGTTCGATTTCGTGACAGACTTGCTACGCCTTTAACTTTCAACGTGACAGACGATATCAGTGAGGGATCGCGTTCTTGATAACCACGTTTATACCACATAAGATAACCGAATGCATAGAATAGAATAAGTAATTGGACAAATCGACATGTTAACGCAATCGAGTACGAGTGTATAGTAACAATCTTCGGTGCTAAAAGTGATTAGAAATGAGTTTGATTGAACGGGAACAAGCAACTTACTTTCGTATTCAGTGACTGTTCCAACAAGAACCGATTTGATATGACTAGGCGTAAAAGCATAGGTAAATGGAGCACAATGGCGTTTTACTTTTGCACAGGTTGTTTCAGGCATAATTATGTTGATGTAGAATTTTTTGAAGTAATGAATAAGAGTGAGTTTTGTTCTCAAGAATCTGTTTGTAGTTAACGGTTTCTTTCATCAAGACGTCTTTTTTTCAGTGTGTTCATAAGCACAAATATTTGTCGATGAATGATAATGAGAGAGAGACTTTTATTGACTTGACTTTTTTTCTCCTTTATGTCCCATGTGAACGACAAAAAAGAGAAAGAAACATTAGGCAGTTTACGAGATCGAAGGATTTGTGTTCTTTTTTGTTGTTTATTTCTCGCTTGTCTAATGGCAATTAAACGGTGAAAGGAAGGAAAATATAGTGCTTGTTAACAAACTGCACTTTTCCCTCTCACTTTATTCTTCCTCTGTTGTGTAAAATAATGTTAACAAACTTGAGCTCAACTTAGCGTGATAAATTCAATTAAACGTATTTATTGATTATGAATATGTAAGCCGAGAAGTAAATTGTCAGGAAGTATATTGTGTCAATGGAAACATCTGTTTATTAAGTATATAAGCACATGAATTGACGAGGTGTATTTGTCTAGAAAAGAAGAGAGAAATATGAATGACAAGTTGCAATAGCAATGTTTATCTTTGAAAGAAAATGTATTCAATAATCGGTTATGCTTATAAATCACAAGGTACTCAATCAGAAAATCGCACATGTGAATGGATAGGAAGTGATTGTAGAAAAGCTCGATATATATTTCTAGCAAAACACATCCTGCGAAATTGATTAATTTGATTGATCATGCAGAGATTCTATTTATTCAGGTTATCAATAATCATAATGAATTACAATTTTAGCACATCTGCTGTGTATTGACTAAGTAGAAGAAAAAAAAACTGAGAACTGTATGTCTTAGAACGCATTTTCTCCTCCTCCTCTTCTTTTTGTCAAACGAGTTTCTTCTCTAACCACTTGACAACACTCAATGAAAGTTTAATGTGAACAGCATTTTTTTCTCTTGTTCTCCAATGCTAATTAATCGAAATCTATTACTCACATACCCTGTTTTCTTTCGTTCAAATTAGAAATATCGCAGAATCAATGGCGAAAGAATTATATATCAAACACGATAGGAAATACGAGCTGCTAAAGAAAAGAATCCTCGAGAAATACATCTTGCACAACTATGAGATATCTAACAAAAAATATTTACATAGATGTAAATATTGCCTGACTTATGATCTTAGTTCTCTGAGTAAATATAATTGATGCGAGAGAGAGAAATATATATTTAGAGAAAGAGAATTCATTTGTATATGCAACACGGTTCCTGGGAGACTATTATTTAAATAGACGAAGGTAGTTTGACATGGGAGAGGTAAAAATTAACAACGACATATCATACCGCTGTCGATGTATTACGCACTAGTTCCGCTTTGCAGACTCTATGGTTAATTGAAGTTCTCGTTGGAATGTACTGTCAAATAGTAAAAGATATTTGAAAGGAAAAGAAGGAAACTATACTTTTGTACTGATTCGATTCCAAATAGAATATGAAGGTTAATAACGACTTTGGTTAATCTATATCCAAATACATTGGATACGAACAATATATGAAGTCTTTTCATAAGACTGAAATCTACTTATTTCAGTTTTGTTTATAATCAATTTTATGTGCTTCATTGGAAATGAATAGCGGAGTATCTACACAAATCCCAAATGTGTTTTGATTATTTGTAAAAAAATCTCGAGAGTAGCATCTCATATGTCAGTTTGACCCGTTGTTAGTTAGAATATAATCAATACGAGTAATCGTATTAGCCTTATTACATTTTAGTTAATCAATTAAATATGCTACAAATACAGTATCTGTTTTCGTTCTTTGTATGCATGTCTGTCTATTAACTTGCTTATTTTCTATCGACATTTGAAGAACACAGATGAATAAGTATATGCATTCTTTATATTAAATCTCCCTGAAGATCTCTGGCCAAGTTACGATCAATCACTGAAGTGTTGTGTGTATGATTTAGAAGTTCATATAACAAAATTAATTCTCATAGGTCATGCTAATCTTATAACATGTGACGGGTTCCCTACACTTTGCCGACAATCATTTTGCCGACAAGCACTTTGCCGACAGATCTTTTAATCAAAAATTTCAAAAGATACAATTCTTTTTGGTAACCAAATCCTGAGGGAACCGATGCAATAGCGGTTTTGAGCAAATTCTGCCATAGCTACGATATCCTCATCTGAATCTTTCCCTATACCCTTACATATATTCTGATTCTCAAAATAAAACTGACCACACAAAATGTATTTGTCGGCAAAACAAAACGGCGTCGGTAAAGTGATTGTCGGCAATATGAATGCGACCTCTATAATAAAACTCGAATGATCGCGGTGTCCATGCCTTTTTCAATGTCCATGGTTGTACAGTATTTAAAAAGAATAGAGAACACAATCTTGTCGCCTTGTCTATTTTCAATGCAATGCTTTTTTCAAAAGTTAACCATGTTCTAATGAATTCTATTCGTAAGATGAACGATTTCTTCATAATTAGATCTCAACAATTTCATTTATTTAGTCTATTCACGTGTGCAATTAATAATCGCACGATTCGGTCAACGAAATGCAACTTCTGAATGTAAATACATTAGCTTTTCATCGAGAGTAAAGACATGACTTTGATATATTTATTTGAAGTTTAGTGCGTCAGTATTTTGAAAAAGAAATCAATGAACATAAGAGAAAAGGAACTCTGCCTACGACATTTGTATTACATGATTCGAAATACTATGAAACACTTTCGCGTATTCGTAGTAAATCAGATCGTCTTTCGTATCTTCGTTCGTTAATGGCAATCATTAATACGCCACCAACAGTCGCTGTTCCACAAGATTCCGGTGGTATTCATACTGGATTTTTAACTCCATATAAAAACCTTGCTCAATCTGATCTAGTCAACATGTCCGTATGGAATTATCTAAAAGCACAAAGATTACATGATAATCTTTTCCTCGACTGTTCAAATATATCTAGTCTTCCTTTAGCACGATTGATAATCGATATGAGAGCAATTTTCAATGTACTGAATGATCCTTGGTGGCCAATATTACTCGGCGTGTCCGACGAGAGACATGATGAAATCATCGACATATTAAAAAACAAACATCGACTACACGGTCCACATCTATCAACATGGGAAACAAGTGATCAAGCGATCAATGAGAAAGATTTTGTACTGATTTGTGCAAATCACGGTGAAACTATCTATGGAATCGATTCTAATGAGAAGTACGTGGTGCAGATTGATGGTGATCATCGACAGTGCTGCTTAGGGAATGTCAAAAGTGAAAAAGTCAATTCATACAAAAATGTTGTAAAACTTGAATCAAGAACAAAGTAAGACATTTGTTGGAGAGTTGTCTAGATGTATCCCTTCGGTTTTTAGGAGCTTTAATAATTCCAAACGGATCCTAACACCTGATTTGTTCCAGATATTGACTTCATTGAAAATGAATGGTTCATTTTATAGAAAAGTTCTGAGAAAAAATGATGATGAAAGTCATAATATAAAACCAAAAGCTCGTAGTGGTCTCATATCACATTAAATTCGTCTGTTTTCAGATTAAACATGAGTACATTAGAAGATCTTCGATCAGTTGTTAAACAAACATTGGAACAGAACGGGTCGTTGGCCGCGACACGTGCAAAACTTCGTGCAGATATTTTTTCGACATTACAAGATCCAACGGAAGTCAAACCACGAATTCCACATGAAAATCTTCTTATCAACGAGCTTATTCTCGAATATTTAAAATACAACAATTTAGATTGTTCCGCGTAAGTTTTTTCTCATTGGAGAATTCATTTTGATTTTGATTTCGTCTTCTCGTAGATCGGTGCTTGCTGTTGGTATGTTTGGATAGAAGGATCTATCGATATATTTCTAAAAGCTCACATTGTAGAATCAGGACAACCGACACCCTCACTTGGTCGAGCTTTCGTTGCAGAACAATTAAATGTTCATGACGATGAAAAAACACGACAATTGTAAGAGAATACAAATTTACGAATGATGATCATACTGTCATTGTATTTTAGGCCATTACTTTACTCGCTGTTATCCCATTTTTCTTCAAATTCAAAAGCAACAAATCGTGCACTTTCAAATCGTTTGAATTAGACTGAATTTTGTTTGTTTATTCACATAGATTTTTTTAGAATTTTGTAAAACATTCTGTATATTCCGTATTGTAATGCTTATCTATATATCATATAGAAAATCTTAGCTCTACTGCCATCTATATTTACATGAAATATGATTGGCTACAGGGATTGCCTTTCGAAAGAAGAAATAAATAAACAAAAAAATGCATTCTTGTTTTCATCGTCATCATATTCACGATTGAATTACTCAATAGAACTCGAACGAAAGAAAGAAATTATTTCAGATGTCAGACAGCGAAGATTTTGAACAACTTAAAGTAATTGAATTGCAAAACGAACTGAAAAAGCGTGGTCTCGATACCAAAGGACGTAAAGTGGATTTGATCGATCGATTACGTCAAGCGATGAATAACGAAACGGAATCTGATCCAACAAAGCTTCTCTCTTCACCTAATAACGATGAATCAGCTGCAGCTATTGTAAATGATGATGCATCATCTTCGTCAATTGTTCGTTGATCTGATTTTTTCGCGTTGCTATTTAATATGTTTTGTTTATGAAATATTTAGGCTCTAAAAGACCAAGACACAACGTCGGGTGAACCCAATTTTCAAACTATGGAGGATTTTCCTTATGAAGAACAAAAATCTCCGTCAAGTAAAAAACGTCATCTGAATGACGATAATACAGAAAAGGGAAAAGACAATGAAGATAATTTAACAGAAAATCTCAATGACGATATAGAAAAAGACGATGAAAATCCTAATGATAATGATGATCTAACAAAACAAACACGTAAAAAAAGGAGTCGTTGGGGTTCAGAGCAAGATGAAGATTCACCAGAACAACAATCAACTCCCAAACAAACATCAGATAATGACGATAATAACGATGATGATGAAAATAATCATAGTAGTAGACATCCAGACCGAGATTATCATCGATCATCGAGACAACATGATGACGATCGACACTATAGTAGTCGATATTCCGAAAAGTATGTAAACGATCGAATTCTTTGGGATTCATTCTTCTTCTTATTTATATGTGCCTCTCTCTCTCTGTGTACGTGTGTGTGTGTGAGTGTGCGTATGAAATGATAGATTCGTAAAGGAGAAAAAACCACTTCATCTGTCTCAATCACAAATGGCATATTCGATGATATTTTACAAATTATTGTTTATTATTCATTCATTCATTTCTTCCAGTTTCGAAAAAACTCATTGTCGACTGATCATATTATATCTCAACGTATTTACTCAAATGCATTGTTATCAAGTCCTGTATTAAAATGGTAAGCGTTGCGATTATTATATGACAGATGGTTTAAAGATCTAGAAGAAAACGTGAAAGAAACATAACTATGTATATGTATATATTTAGTCAATATACAATGGATTGTTATCTTTTTTTTGTGATATATGCTATTGAACAAAAGAAGACGACGAAGAAACAATGGAAGAACAAATGAACAAAAGACAAAATCTAACGAAATAATATGATGTAAACATGGATGTTCTAGGTGAAAACTAATGTATACGATTGAAACTACCAAGAAATTAATTCATTTCAGATGACAAAAGACAGATCAATGAACAGGTTTTTCTCTAAATATCGATATGATAGGATTGATGTGTTATTTGTGTAACTTAGTTCTTTTTTTTTTATCGGATCCTTTTGTTCGTGATATCATTTCTTCTATTTAATTTGCTTTCTTTTTCATCCACAGGTCAACAGAACGAGAAATTCCACTTCCCGAAGAAGAAACAGTACAATTCAACAAAGATGATGTTGTATTGGACTTTTGTACGTAGAAGATTTCGAATTGTCGTCTAATATTCGTTGCTATTTACAGATACATCTGACTTAAATCTAACGATTAACACGGATTGTTTATCGGCATCTAATAAATCAAATGATGCATTATGTTTCCTATGGGCAGGTGTTCACGGCACATATGGTTTTCGACAAGGCAGAATTGGTTATGAAATTCGAGTAAGTTCTGACAAATTGTTTGTCGTTTATGACGGATCATTGATCATTTTAGATAACTGAAATTATTGATTGTCCACAAATGCCGGAGAGTGAAAAAGAAAAGTTTGGTGTTCGTGTCGGATGGTCAAATCTTTCATCCAATCTTCAGCTAGGTAAAACAATCGCTATTCATCGTTCAGCAAAAGGACATCTTATTTTACAGGAGAATTCAATGGTTCGTTCGCCTACACATCGACCGGAAAGAAGTTGAGCATGGCTAATGATCAAGTTGTTGAAGATACTTATGGAGAATCGTTTGGCGTGTCAGATGTTATTGCAAGTTATATTGATTTTGGAGACGATTCTGATAGCAGTTCCATACGGATATATTTCACGAAAAACGGCACAGATTTCGGTCCAGCGTTTGAATTTTCCAAAAATGATTCGAAAGAATTCTATCCACATATATTAGTAAAGAATGTTCGATTTGAATGCAATTTTGGACAATTGGTAAACGTTCGCACTTTGTTTCTCTATATCATAGTGATTTCAATTGTTTATTTCTTAGGAAACGTCATGGTCAGAAGTCAAACCAAATTATACATTCGCACAAAATATACCTGTATCCGATAGGATACGTGGTTCGACGCCAGTCGAAGAAAAAAGTCAATGCCAAGTTGTACTTCTGTCAGGTTTGAATGGATCGGGCAAAACAAGTTGGGCAAAGAAATATATGGAGGAAAATTCTGACAAGCACTTCAATTTGCTCAATGCTGAACATGTTCTCAATAAAATGACGGTATGTTTGAGTACATAAAAACTATTTGTCGATTGATGAAAACAATTTTCTTTATCCTTAGATTGATGGAAAGTTACCAGTGATTAAGGATCGAAATGACGGTTTAATGATACGTGTGAATATTGCTTTACAGAGACTCATTGAAGTAGCTGCGCGACGTCGACGAAATTTTATTATTGATCATGTAAATAAGTGAAGTTTTTGTACGGATCAATGATTATGTTTTGTATTTAATTCGTTGTAGACAAACACAGCTCGTGAAAGTCAAGTCAAACGGCAAAGATTATTTACTGGCTATCATCGAATAGGTGTTGTGATCGTACCTGATGACGACGAATTGAAAAAACGCATTGAAAAAGTGGAAAAAACCGAAAATATAACTTTCCCATCGTACTGGATCCGAGACGCAAAAGCGAAATTTTATTTTCCACAAACCAGCTCGTCATTAGAAGAAATTATATATCCTGAATTATCTTATGATGATGCTAAATTATTGTACGATAAAGCACGACAAGATTACGAGCAGTATCGTTCATCGTCACGCTATGATCGACGTGATGATTATTATTCATCACGAAATAATAATAATACCAACAACAATCGGAATCGATACGATGACCGAGATCGTCGTAGTCGAGAACATGATCGAAATCGTGATCGCGCATACCGATCACGATCACGATCACGCGACAGAGACCGTCGAACATCATCACGCGAAGATTCACGATTCTCATCTTCCTCCTCATCATCGCATCGCAACGAGAATTATCGTGGTGGATACTCACGTGGTGGTGACGGACGATATTCTGATCACCGACAAGATTCACGAAATAATCAGCGCGGTGGTTTTCACGACAGTCGCGGTAGCGGTGGGTATCGCGGACGAGGAGGCAATTATAATAATCAATCAAATGATGATCGTCGCGGTGGATATCAACAACAGCAACACCAACGAAACGATTTTGGTGGCGGTCGTGGACGCGGTGGTGGTAGTTTTGATAATAACCGAGGTTCGTATCATGACAGGCAACGTGGTGGATTTCGACAAGATTATAGCAATCAACCACGAGGACGTTCATTTAATGATTACGACAACAACCTACAACGACAGCAAGGGGGTGGCGGCGGTGGTGGTAGAAACTTCATGCAGAATAATAACAATAATAATTTCAATCAACAACATGATAGACAAAGATTTGATTCGAGGGTATGTTGTTCGGTAAACTTAGTGTTGATTAAGTGGATTATTTTGAATATTTAGTCATCAATGCAACAGCAAGGCTCTTTTCATAATCAACAGCAACCACAGCGTTCCGGACCACTTCTTCAAAATCCACCATCTAATCAACAACAACAGCAGCAATCCTATTCATCACATTTAACTCAACAAACAGCAAATAATCCTAATCTTTCTTTACAAACACAAAATTCACTCAATCTAAATGCCCTTTCGAATGCTGCAAATATGACTCAACAAAATAGTCTTGATCCATGGCTTGCGCTTTGTGCTGCCGCCCTCAACACGCAATCAACTGTATCACAACAACAACAACATCAACAACAACAACATCAACAACAGCAACATCAACAACCACAGCAGGATGCGAATTCGCTAACACAACAATGGGCACAGTGGTTAAAATCAACACAAATGGTTAGTAGTAAACATTCTACACGTGTACCCGTATGGTTCCATCATATATATTTCTTTTTAATTTCTAGGCACAAACAGCACAACAGTCTCAACCTCAACTAACAGTTCAATCAAATGATTCTCAGCAGGCACAACTTTCAGATGCAAGCGCTTTGTACTATCAAGCGTATTATGCGCAGTTGGCTGCTGCACAACAACAAGCAGCGGCCGCAGCAGCTGCTGCCGCCGCCGGTCCGTTCAATGGTGGTGTAGCTCCGCCTGGCGCTAATGATAAATAGTTTGTCTTTGAAATTGGAAATAAATGTTTTGTTGTTGTTCTTTTGTACTTGTGTAATTCTATATTATTTGTTTACCCAGCATTCTCATTGCTTACGTCTTTGTTCAAAGAATAAAAGAAATATCGTTGTTCGTATTTATATAGATTTATTGTGTGAGTATTGTCCAGATGAAAAAAAAAGTTCACTAAAGTCATTTAATAAAAAAGCCGCGAAAAACGTGTTTTTTGTCTTTTTTCTCCACACCAGAAATGATTCATGCTTTCATGAAGGTAAAAGAACGGAAAACATAGGCAAGTCAAACAGCATCAGTGGAATATTGAGCGAAAATTGCCGTGTAAACGTTTCAACATGCACCTCAGCGCTTTGGTTATACATATACAGAAGTCACTACCCGTCAGGTATGAACTAGTTTCTATGAATGCGCTACAAGTGTGACATGTTCAAAAGTGCTATTGTCACTGGAATCAAATCAGACGATCAATTTTTCTATACAAAGCTACCAATGGGAAAGAGACAACATATAACATGTACCATTATCAGTATCTTTTACGAACACCTTGTCGCTTATCTATTCTCATTGCTATCGAGGATAGAAAATATATTTAGTAGTGTGGAAGATAGATACTATTATTTCATTTCGTGAGCTGTTATTTTGTCGCGATTAACCGTCCGTTGGACCAGATTAGACATGTCTATAGCAGTACACACTGTCATCGCGTGTTTTACGCTTATCTATATATGTTGCGGTGTACCGTTAAAGCCATCGAATACCTGTGGTTATGATGTAAAATCCCAATAAACCGACACGAAAAGTTACTCATAATACTGGAGTTGACTTTCTTTTTTGTAGGTGTGTAACTTAGGCAAACCCGATAAATTAAATGTACACATTGTTCCACATACGCATGATGACGTTGGATGGTTGAAAACTGTCGATCAATATTACTATGGTGGTAAGTCATTTCTATTGAGTTTATTTATCATTGATCGCTGTTACGTTGCAGCTCGTAACGATATTCAACATGCTGCTGTTCAATATATTCTTGATTCAGTTATTCCGTCATTAGTAGAAAATTCTGATCGTCGTTTTATATATGTCGAGATCGCTTTTTTCTGGCGTTGGTGGCTGCAGCAAACCGAAGAAATGCGAAATACGGTGAGACAGCTGGTTAATGAAGGTATTCAGACACTTTTTTTTAAAAAGAAAGAACAAGTTTGTATATCATTTGTTGAAAAAAGGTCGTTTGGAATTCATTTCTGGTGGATGGTCAATGAATGACGAGGGTGTCACTCATTATAATTCTATTATTGATCAGCATAGTCTAGGTGCTGAATTTTTACGTGATCAGTTTGGTCAATGTGGTCGGCCAAAACTTGGTTGGCAAATAGATCCGTTTGGGCACTCTAAGCAAGTAGCATCACTTTTCGCACATGTAAGCTGAGAAATAAAGTGACGTATCAAATTAATCTTCAATGATTCATAGATGGGTTTTGATGGACTCTTTTTTGGACGAGTCGACGTTCAAGACTACACCGAACGATTCAAAACGAAAACAATGGAAATGATCTGGAAAGGAAGTGCTAATCTGGGTGAAGACAGTTGGCTTTTCAGTGGAATACTGCCAAGGGTTTACGAAGCACCACCTTCGTTTTGTTTCGATGTTCATTGCCAAAATGAACCTATCAAAGTTAGCTAATAGTTCACTTGCTTTTCGATAACTAGTATAGAATGTAATGTTCTTCCTTTGAGGACGATCCACAATTACATGATTACAATGTGCCTGAAAGAGTTCAAGCATTTATCGATGCTGCGCATAGTCAAGTTCGAATTCGTCTCGGCATTTATAAATAAAAGGCTATAATCATACTTTAGGCAACTGGCTATGCAACAAATCATATCATCAACACGATGGGTAGTGATTTTCAGTACGAAAATGCTGATGAATGGTATAAGAATTTGGATAAATTGATAAAATATGTCAATGCTCAAGTAATAAATAGTTGTTACCATGTACAATTAAATTGATATAGAATGTATTTAGCAAGGAAATGGAAGCGATGTGAATATATTCTATTCAACTCCATCGTGTTATTTATATGCATTGAATAAAGCAAACCGAACTTGGACAACAAAATCAGATGATTTCTTTCCAATTTCATTCAATCAGCATGGTCTTTGGAATGGTTATTTTACGTCTAGGCCAGCACTGAAACGATACGAACGTTATTCAAATAATATTTTACAAGTAACGAAACAATTGAACGCTTTGTCGAATGTAACACTTCGGCATGCCTTCTTCCCACTAAGTATATAACTGCTCGAGACCTAGAGAAAGTTTTTCTGAATGTATTTCGATTTTCAGGCGAGGCTATGGGCATTGCTCAACATCATGATGCTGTTAGTGGTACGGAAAAACAACACGTGGCTGATGACTATGCTCAACGATTAGCACAGGGCATTGATTCTGCTACAGTAGATCTATAGATGCGAATCAGTTTCTCTGCACGATCTATTATTTCATTTAGTATGTTGTTAATGAAGCTTATAAAAAACTTTTACCAAAATACAATCACTCTTTAACAATTCCAGCTCAATTTCTCTGTCAATTTTCAAACATTAGTGAATGTTTACCAATCGAAGGACAAGCTAGTGTAAGTTTCTAGACAAAAGTCAATTGTTAATTGATAGCGTATTCGTATTATTTAGTTTACTTTAACTCTTTGGAATCCGACGATTCACTCGGTTCAACACGTCGTCCGTGTGCCAGTAACGCAAAAATATCTGATTCGAAGTCCAACAGGTTCCACAGTTGCAGCTGATGTAATCTTTTTCTTAGCTTATTTTTCAATTCTAATTCTCTCTTCATCAACTAGTTCATGTCAATATCTGACCAAGTGAAAAATATTCCCGGTCGTACGAGTTCTGCTCAATATGAATTAGTTTTTCAAGTGCCACTACCGGCTCTTGGATTTAGCACTTACTATTTCGAAAGTAAAAGTTCATTAGCTGATAACAAGAGAAAAGAAAAGTCGAAGATCGATCAGACACATAATGAAGCGTGTGTACTTCAGAATCAAGTATGTAGATCACAATTACAATGCTTTTTTCAACTTTTACTGTAGTATCTTCGTGTGGAATTCGATCAACAAGGAAATTTAAAAAATATAACGAATCAAGAGAGAAACTTCACTGTTCAATTCTCTTCACAAGGATTCTATTGGTATACAAGTACATATCTTGACTGTGTACAAGAGAATATTTGCTCTTATGATCTATTTCTCAATTGAGGTTTTCCCGGCAATAACTCTCGACCGGAATTTCAAGCATCAGGTGCTTATTTTTTCCGACCATTAACGTCGAATCCATTACCAGTTAGTAGCTCACGTAATGTGTACGTACGAAAACGAATTACTTTTTCTGAGATAAACATATTTATTGATTAGAACATGCACACACATGGATCAGGTTCAAACGGCATACATTGTTTATAATCAATGGTGTAGCCAAGAAGTTCGACTCTATGATCAAGCAAATACAGTTGAAATCGAATGGATTGTCGGTCCAATTCCGATTGAAGATGGTCTCGGGAAAGAAATCATTATACGCTATGATACAGATATTCGAAGCAATCAATACTTTTATACTGATGCTAACGGACGAGAAGTTCTTGAACGTAAACGAGATTATCGACCATCATGGAATTATACAGTATATGAAAGTGTGGGTGGTAATTATTATCCCGTTGCGAGCCGTATATGGATTAAAGATAACCAAACACAAATGACAATATTAACAGGTACGGAATGTGAAACTTTTCTTTCACTTAATTCAAGTCAACTTTTGTCGAACTTATTTTAGATCGATCAGAAGGTGGTTCAAGTATGCATGATGGCTCTATTGAATTGATGGTTCATCGTCGTACACTCCACGATGATTCACAAGGTGTTGGTGAACCCATGAATGAAACTGCTTATGGTACAGGTCTTGTTGTACGTGGTCGACACGTATTGATTCTCGAGACACCGCAATTAAGTGCCTCTCATCATCGTCCAACTGCGCAACAACTCTTCATGAGTCCACTACAAACATATGCTTTACCAGGAATATCCTATACTGATTATTCGAATAATTATCGTCAAACATGGTCAAGTTTAAATGAATCATTACCATATAATGTTCACTTATTAACATTCGATCAGTTGGCAGCAAACGTATTTCTGATACGCGTTGAACATTATTTTGAATTGAACGAAGATGCGACATATTCAAAATCAGCACAAATTGATTTAGACAGCTTATTCAATACATTAGGTAAAATCAAAGATTTAGCTGAGTTAACCCTTGCAGGCAATATGCCTTTGAGTGAAATGAAACGATTGGTATGGCAGACTAATGATCATCAATCATCAAATTTGAAATTGACAAGTACGAGACTAAGAAAATCGTCTTCACTCAAGAAATTCTATTTCTGTTTTCAATATTTTCAGAGTCAAACACATCAAAAAGTACAATTGTTTCACTAAACCCAATGGAAATTAAAACTTTTCAAGTAACAATCGAATAAACTGCATCGATAAACTTTCTTCGACATTTTTCCTAATTATAATACATGGCTAATATGAATTGTGAATTGAGAATACAATAAGCCCATTTTCATGAAACCTCCATATTGCTTCTACATCTAGACTAACATATGTTGAACTATTTAGATATTTATCACTATTTCTACACGCGGAGTGCAAGTCATATCTTTTTTGATGAGATGTTCTTTATTCCCTTTCCACTAATGACTGACACTAGAAGCAGACAGACCACATAGTCTTTATCAGTAATGAACGATTCTGCCGACCAGACCATTTTGACCGCCCGCTCGCTCATTTCTTTCCTTCGTCTTACTTTAACGCTGGCCATAGATACTCTGCGTCGTCCTCCCTCCATTTTTCTTAGCTCTGTGTCTATTTCTTTCTCGGCTCATCGTGACTAGACTATGATGAGAGGGCATAGCAATTTATTCTGCATTCATTTCGCTGCCTTCTCGCGCCAAAGATACACGTTTTTCTCGTTCTACTCTACTGTATTTCTTCAACAAGTAAATTTTTCAAATGGCTGATTCAATCAACAAGAACATCGATGCTGCCAAAGACAAAGCAGCAGGTAGGTCATTTCTCTGTACATCGGGATCATCATCAACGGAGTTTCTTGTTCTAGAAACTGCTGATGCTGTCAAAGATAAAGTAGAAGAAAAGAAGGCTGGTGCTGAACATGAAGCTAAAGGTCTTGTTGAAACCGTGAAAGAAAAAGCCGCTGAAGCGTAAGGATTAGTTTGATAGTTTAGCCGCAGAAACGTGATCCGATTACATATTTCAGTTACAATTATGTCGCTGGCGGTGACGGTGAAGGAAAAGGTCTTGTCGAAACAGTGAAAGAAAAAGCCACTGAAGCGTACGTAGACGATTTAATTGATAAAATGATTTTCAACCAAGAAATCTTTCTTTATCTAGTTACAACTTTGTTGCTGAGAAAGTTTCGGAAGCAACACACGCCGTTACTGGAGAAGCTCACAAAGAAGTTGCCAAAGATTCCAACCAATCGGTTGGTACCCGTGCCGAAGCCGCCGTTGATGCTGTTAAAGACAAAGTCAGCGAGAAAACAAGCGAAGTTAAAGCTGAAGCTCATAAACAAAATTTATAAAACAATAAACAACCAATGCTCAATGAACAAACAAATCATCTATTCACAATAACATTTTAGAAAAAAAAACGCAATTGTAGTCTGTTTGTTTTATCTCAGTGTCTATTATTCTCACTATATTATACATACTTAATTCAAAGAAATAAGAACAAATTCCAATAATGTGTTCGTATGCATGTTTAGAGATATTTACTTTAGTATGTCAGACATTTCTGGTTTCGCCAATCTTTGACTGATGAAGAAAAACGATGAGAAAGAAAGAGCGAGAGCGGGAACACGGGCAATGACTCTTAATTAGTTTGTCAGAAGTATTGAATGAGAAGGAGATAAAGGAGAAGAAGTTTTAACAACACAAACGTGTTTATTATGGTGAAAAATGCGTTGATTCAGCATCTCAAAATATACCAATTGTATACTTAAGTGAATCAGTGTTGTAGTGAAACAGATGTGTATGTGTAGATGAAAAGAAAGAATAATGTTTTGAGAACGTTTTTGTTCTCTTTCATTGTAAAGAATATCTTGAAACAGATGTGACCTAACGGTGCTACTCATCTTCATCTAGAAAACGCACGCTAGTGGAGATCTACTTAGCAATTAACTTTCAGTTGTATCTCTATCCACATGAACAGTTCAATTTGATCAAAGGATAAACTTGCTCTTCTTAATGAGCCATAAAATTTCAATTTCTATTCTTGTCAATCAACCATTATAATTGGTTAGGAGTTCATCTCGGACATATTTCACGTACGATTATCTCACCTGTTAATTATCGTAGCAAGGATTCTCGTACACTGTTTGTTGGTAGTTGAAATATCATGTTTCTCTTCATCAACTAGCAACATCTATTGAAAGAGAAAGGATCGGAAGAGATTGACTTTGATTGCATGCCAGACTTTACCTTCTGTTTTATCAGAAACTAAAGTTTCACTTATTTCGTACATATTCAGGTTCTCGGATTGATTAATTTGAGCGGAATCTTTTCAGATTAAAGAACAATGTATACTCGTTGTAGTGTATTGAAACAAATCGTTCGGAATTTCGTTGCACCGAACTCATACACGCGTCTCGTCCGTTTCCAGTCATCGACGACAAGTCAAGTCGTAGGAAATCGTTTTCTTGATTCAACGTAAAAGAAATGCTGCTTCTAGTTTTCAATCTCATTTGTTTATTTTCAGTTCAAAAGTAGATAATCGTTCAAATTCAGGAGATGTCTTTCTTGCCTTAACAACAGAATACAATCGTAAACGATTTGTTCCAAGTGGCCTTGTTATGAACGCAATTAAGAATATAAATAACACGATATCAGAAAGACTCAGTTTATTAATCTTAACAGCAGCGGCTCGTGGAGTTCATCATGTCACACCAGAAAAACGTGTGGAGTTGTTAGAAGAAGTACGCGAGAAAGTCCTTGACTTTGAGTGATTCTATCCGATCCTTTTTATTCAAGGCATGGAAAGCATTGTCTGAGCAAAAGATTCGATTAACTACACGTCATTATGAAACCTATTTAAGTGGTTTAAATGAAAATGGATTCATTTTCGATGCTGATTACTATTTGAAACTAATCGACAACGAACAGATCCAAGCATCACCACGTCTTTACAGTTTACTTTTAACTCAGTAAGTTCTGAAACCGATACTCGAGATTCTTTACGTTTCCAATCGTTCGAAATCATCAATAGATACTGCCGGGAAGGAAATACTGATCGTGCGCAAAAGTTTTTAAAAATGCTCAAAGAACGGAATGTCAGTATTGACGAAGATATTTTTGCAGCGCTGGCTGTGTGTCAATTAAAACTTGGCAATGACAAAGGTGCGAATGATATCATTCAAATCATGAAAGAACGTGGTTTACAACCAACGATATCGACCTATAAAGAAATTTTAACTGCTCTAATTAGCGAACATAAATTAGAGCAATTTGAATATTATCTCGGTCAAATGGAATCTCAACAGCGTCAATCAACATCATCAACAGCTTATATTGACGCACACTTCGTTGTTATTTTACTCGAACAATGTGTTTCCTACAAAGAACGGCCAATCTTTGATTTATTATTGAATACATTAAAAGAACTCGATCATGGACGTATGCCGAACAATCTGTTTAACTTAGCGGTGCAATGCGTTACAAATGGATGGCATGAATCAGCTATTGAATTATTACAAATACAAACTGAATTGGACATACCCGACAATGTTGAATCGCCTCACCAAGGTATTCACGGACGACATTGGACGTTATTCTTCAGGTAGGAATTGTGAATGAGATTTTAGGGAAAAACTTCATCGCACTTTGTTTAGACAATTATTTGAGAATGATGAGTCTCATTTGATCGATACTTATCTTGATTTAATGATGCAAAAGAGTCTTGTTCCACTCGATGGTATTCTACGCGTTTTATACACATCGTCGAATGAAGATCATCGTTTACCACTTAGCTATCTTGAACGAGGCCAAGAATTACGCCACCCAATGCGTACAAACTATTTCTATCCATTACTTTTAAAGGCTTATTCGCCGAATACATGTCAAAACTGGACGGATGATGAGCGTTTACGTCTATATCGTTTACTCGATCGTTTAGCTATACCAATCGAATCATTGACATATTCACGCTTGCTTCAACAATCATTTCATCAGTATTATCAAAACAATTTCACTCCATTGCTAGAAATGTTAGCACAAAATAATTTACAATCGATCCTCGATCGTATGTGTCGATTGTTACTGATCGATATTCGACAAAAGACTCTTCCGTTGAATATTACGCAACAGATCGCACCTTACTTTCGTTTGAATATGCATCGACGCCAAGAGGAATTTTCGCGATATTTGTTTTCAGTAATGACCGAGTACGTGTTGAGTTGTTCGAAGCTTTCTTCCATATATTTCTCATGTAAAATTCTAGTTCAAATAAAACAGATGCCGATCGATTTGAAGCACTGTATCAACTCATCGATTTGATATCCAAAGACTTGTCAACCGAGATTCCGACGTTGAAACATGAGTTGTACTTGAATCTACTTCGTATGTCAGCACAACAACACCAAACAGATTTGACCAATCGGTTAGCGGACCGCTGTATCCAAGAGAATATCAAATTAGGTGGCTCGATGAATGAAATCGATCTTTTAACTGGTTATGTCTTACCGCGTGACACAGTGGAGAAATTAGCGCGTTATAAACCAGGTGAATTATCGTGGAAAGAGAAACTATCGAACTTGGATTGGTCGAAAGCGAATCTGACGACTTTAGAACAAATTTATCAAGATTCAAAACAAGATGGAAGATATCCATTCGATTTACAAGAACGTCTATTGAGTCTTTATATAAAAAAGAAATCGATTCAACAAGCATTTGCAATTCTACATGAAATTGTTTCAAGTCGACAAAAGGTTCGGAGAAAATCTTTGACAAAAAGCATTTTTCCAAATAAAACCTGTTCGTTTAGATTGATTCCGCGATCTTTCATCGATTGTTCAATCTCGCTACCGTCAAAATGGGAGATAATATCGATTCGTCAAAAGCAAATCATGAAAATGATTTGAAATATCTCTGTGAACTCTATGACAAATCATACGGTCTTGTTAATTTACCAAGTGAATTAACATTTCGTTTGGCTAACATGGCGCTCGTCAACGGAGATCAAGACAGCGCCATAAAAATAATCTCGAATAGAATCAATTCGAATTTGAATGATGAAACATATCATTATCTAATGAAATTTCTCAAATTGAATTCCTCTGTATTGACAAGTGATGGTCTTATGTCCATTGGTAATCTGTTCCTCAATTTTCGCATTAATGAATCTGTACGCAAGTTTTGGAATTTGTTCTTCGACATTCTTTTGGAAAAAACCAGCGCACAGGATGTCGTACAATACTATTCCGATGCTATGAGAGAAAATAGCAACGTTCCTTATTTTCATCTCTTCGAAGTATTGATGTGTAAAACAAAACTTTCAGATTTAGAAAGTTTTTCGTTTCTTCTAGTTGTTTATTTCGAAAGACGAATTGAATCGTTTACAAGATGTTGTCGATATTGCAACGTTACAGCACGGACCGCGAAATGTCCTACACGATCTTGGATTTAGTCTGATTCAGAATGGTAAAATCAAACAAGCAGAAAAGATCTTTCAAACACCGTGGTTAAAAGCAAGAAATGATCGTATCAATTTACATTCGTTACTCTTTGCTGGTAATTCGAAGATATTGCCTGAATGAAATACTGCATTTCATATTTAGATTCGAACAATCTTGATGCATTGATAAATGCCATAAAATTAACACGAAATCTCCCTGATGTTGATCAAAAACAATTGTACACATCCGCAATTCGGTAGAGAAGATGTTCGATTTAGAACATGAAAGAGAAACAAAGCTTTTGTTTGCATTTCAGTGTGGCTATACGTCTTGATAAATCAGACGTCGTCGATTGGTTATGTAAAGACATCCAAGAGCATCAAGTCCAACTTGACATCCGAGTTAAGAAGTACGTAGAAAAGAAATTCAGTGTTTATTCTGGAAGTTATCTCCGCACTTGTCATCTCTTCTGAGTCAAACATTGAATTTAAGTGATTAGAAAGTAAATATCATAAAATTCGATCGAATGCGATATACTTTGTACCCCTGTGCGAAAGCAGATCTGATTTGGTATTTAGTTGACCAGCACAGATGGTTATTTGCAAACTTTAATCAATAAGTTTTCTCGAAATGTTCTAGTTAATCCCTGATGATATTTACAAATATACAGTGTGAAGAAGAGGATTATGGATAAAACTTTCGACATAATGTTTGTATGTTTAGATTTCTCAACGCTCACCTATTATCAAAAGGTCTCGATCCACTGAAAATCAAAACTGAGGACAATGAACTTGAAAACGAACAGAATCTTGTCTCGTTCGAGGACACTGCTGGTAAAGTGGCTGAATGTTCGAGCTAATTCTCATTCGCTGTTTTTGTTTCTTTATTTCTAGCAGCCGTCGAAGGGCAGACAAAAATGAGTGCACGAAATTAAGCATAAACAATTCGTTAGGTTAATTTGATGTTTGTCCCTTTCCATTTTTTGCTTCTTTTGTGTTTAATCATGTTAAAAACTTTTTCGTTTGTTTCTTCCGTTTTGTTTTCCCTATCTGTCATTAAACTACAGTGCAACATACTCGAAAGAAGCTACACACCTGTGTATCAATCCTCAAGCATTTACAATGAGATCAACGAAGAAGTTTCTCGCACGAACAAAGAGAGAACTGGATTTGTGCTTGAGAGTAGATGATATACCTTCTTTCTTTCTGTCATCTTTTATGACCTTTCGGGTTTTATGATGATGATAAAAAGCATCTGCAGTCGAACAAAACTGCAAAGACTACCGTAGAAGTCGTGAGAGACATAATTAACATGAATCTATTCATCTTCTTCTATATATTCGTCCAATTCTGTATTATTCAAGTACGCACAGACGAATGTGAATTAACATCAAATGATGCTGATGTTCAATTGACAACGAAAACGTTCCTTCAATCTCGACAGTTCTGTAGTGAAGCTCGTTTTCCCAGCAGAAACACTCGACAGATTATCATATCGGGTCGTCTAGTAGATTACACAACCCGTTGCAAGCGAGGTATATCACAAGCCGACATTGAAATAATTCACGGACAATCCGGCTTCCATCCCATTTGTCGCGAGCTTCACCATCCAAATTCGCGTGGCTTCTATAACTTATCAACTGTAATTGCAACACCATTCACCGGGCAACTTTACATACGTGTGACATCACCTGGTTATGAAACAGTTTTAAAAAGAGTTCCCATATCATTGTCATCGCAAAGAAAACGAAAAACCATTTTTCTTCAATTGAAACTAGCAATGGTACGCAGTGAAGCACAGATAGAACAACAACAAGATCAGCAAACACAACGAATGAATTCAATTGTTGATACTCTCATGTCGCAAATGACTATCGAAGAAAAGATTGGACAACTAAATCTGGTTACGGTTGGTTTTGATGTTACTGGCCCAATTGTGAGTGAAAATGTTGATGAAAACATTCGTCAAGGTCGTATCGGTGGTGTATTCAATACATTTACACCAAAAGGCGTGCGTCCATTACAGGAACTAGCTATGAATCATACACGCTTGAAAATTCCTCTTATTTTCGGTTATGATGTTATTCACGGCCATCGAACTATCTTTCCTATTTCATTAGGTATGAGCACCACATGGGATATGGCAGTCATCGAAACAAGTGCTCGCATTGCTGCTCAAGAAGCGACAGCAGATGGATTAAATTGGGTGTTTTCACCGATGGTTGATATAGCACGTGATCCACGCTGGGGTCGAATCTCCGAAGGTGCTGGCGAAGATCCTTGGCTAGGTAGTCAAATAGCTGCAGCTATGGTACGCGGCTATCAAGGATCAGATCTGTCTAGCTCAAATACAGTAATGGCATGTCTGAAACATTTTGCTTTATACGGCGGAGCAGAGGCAGGACGCGATTATAATACCGTTGATATGAGTCGTATTACTATGTATAATTATTTTCTACCGCCCTATCATGCAGCCGTCGAAGCAGGTGCCGGTAGCGTTATGACATCGTTTAATGAAATTGACAGTATTCCAGCATCGGGAAATCGATGGCTATTACAAGATTTGCTACGTGATCAATGGAAATTCAATGGATTTGTTGTTACAGATTTTACAGCTATCAATGAAATGATCGAACATGGTGTAGGTAATTTACAAGAAGTAAGCGCACGTGCATTGAATGCAGGTGTTGATATGGACATGGTGGGCGAAGGTTTTCTAACCACATTACCAAAATCCATACAAGAAGGAAAAGTAACTGAACAAACGATCAATCAAGCATGCCGTCGAATCCTCGAAGCAAAATATAAACTAGGTTTATTCGATGATCCATATCGTTATTGTGATGACTCACGTCCTGGAACGGATATATTTACTAATGAAAATCGTCTTGCAGCAAGAGATTTTGCTCGACGGTCATTTGTTCTACTCAAAACTGATCGGAAAACCTTGCCATTAGCAAGAGCGAATTCAACCATCGCTCTCATAGGTCCATTAGCGGATGATCGTCGAAATTTAATCGGTAGTTGGAGTGCAGCCGGTAACTGGAGTCAGAGTGTTACTGTACGTGAAGGAATAATCAATCTTGTTGGAAATCAAAATCAAGTTTTAGTTGCCAAAGGTTCAAACCTTATTGAAGATACATATATGCTTCAGCAACTAAATGCACACGGTGGTGAAATCGTTGTAGATACACAATCAGCTCAACAAATAATAGATGAAGCAGTAGGAATAGCGAGCAGATCAGATGTTGTTGTAGCTGTTGTCGGTGAATCGCAAGGAATGACAGGTGAAGCAGCTAGTCGAGCCGATATTGGACTGCCAGAATGTCAGAAACGTTTACTTCAGGCATTATTCAATACTGGTAAACCAGTTGTTATCGTATTAATGAACGGTCGACCAATGACACTAACATGGGAACATGAACATGCAGCAGCTATTTTGGAAACATGGTTCGCTGGTACTGAAGCTGGTAATGCTATTGCTGAAGTACTGTTCGGCCTTTACAATCCAGCTGGTAAACTAACTACAACATTTCCGCGTCACGTGGGACAAATTCCTTTGTACTACAACCACAAGAGGACCGGCCGTCCTTTCAATGCTACTCAATTTACTGATAAATACAAGGTAAATGAAATTTTTTATAAGCTGATTGATTACTCAATTTGCTTTCGTTTAGAGTCGTTATTTAGATATTCCTAATGATCCCCTGTATCCATTTGGTCATGGTCTTAGTTATACCACATTTGAGTTCGGTACAATATCCGGTGATAAGTCTGAACTTCGAGGTGATTCAGATCGTTTAACTGTTCGTGTACCAATTAGTAATCGAGGTGCTTATGGTGGCGAAGAAGTTGTTCAATTATATATCAGTGATCCAGCGGCTAGCGTCACCCGAGCTGTGCGCGAATTGAAAAATTTCAAGAAGATTTATCTTCGTGCCCAACAAACTGACGAAGTAACATTTGTGGTAACAACAAATGATTTGAAATTCTACAATACCAATCTTGATTATGTATGGGAAGAAGGAGATTTCATCATTCATATTGGCCCTGATTCTGTCAATACCCAATCCATACGAGTGAAATGGCTTAAATAGAATTCTTGAACTACAATGAACATTCGTTCGTTTTTTTTTCTCGAAATCTATTTATTAAAAAGAAAAATAAACGTTAGTCTAGTACAGAAATCAAGGTCAACAATCCAATTCTATTCGTTAGAAGGTTTCATTAATTTATTGCACCTTTTCTCATGAAACGTTCATCAGTGTATAAATGAATCTGACATATATTCATATTACTCATCTACGCCATAACTTGTTTTATTCTTCGAATGAATAATTCAAAAGTATACCGTTCTACGCACTTACTACAAGATAAAAACAAGCTGAAAGATACGTAGAACTGTGTATCCAGCATTTTGTGTCATCTTCAATTAGACTTCTGATTCTGTTAGACGCCAATTTACCGATGTACCGCAAGTACTACAGCTGGAACGGAATAAATGGTATTGATTGTTCTACTTACGTACATACACTAGAAATAGCAAAATGGATGCTTTCATAGTTATTCTAATCAATCTCGCATGCCGTGCGTTTGTGTCTCACATTTGTTATTATTTCAAACAGCTTTTCTCTTCTTTTAACATAGTGAAGTGCTTGTGTATAATATTGTATATTTTTCAATGTGATGAGTACGGTAAAAATCAACATTCTTTTTTCATAAGTTCATTTATTCATTCTATTTTCAATCACCTAGTCTGATTGATTCATTGTTCACCGTTTAGCCTTGAAAATCTCTCAAATTCTTTCTCTTCTGTTGATATTTTACTTCAATTATGTATTCATTCGATTTATCTGTTTTCATCAGCGTTTTACATGTTCTTCTAAGTAAATTGAATGCAAAACGACTGTCCCGCCTTTTTCTGCTTGACATGCATGTATATGTGTATGAAAGGGTCACTTGACAAGCTTCTCTAATCGGATATTATTCCATTTGTGTATTCGTTGAATGTCGTTACTCAATAGATTTGTCAACACGCATTGTTGAAATCAATCGAATAAATCGTCGTATACAAATTGACATTGAACGTTTTCGTTTCTCTATATAGGCATACGATATTCGGGTGTACTTGTGTCATACACGGTTGATTTTTCTTCTTTTTTTACACTATCTCGATTGATTGACGAAAGAAATAGGGAGAAGTATAGGTAATTTGCTACACGAATCAAACTTCAATTGTTCGGCTGTACAACGTGGCCAATCGACGTATATAAACGTCGTAAATTATAGCCTATGAAACGAAAGAAGAGAAAGGTGATTGTCGACAGATAACATACACGCACTTCTAGTGTAAACGTCAGTAGATGTGTGTATGTAATTAGTACATAGATGAATATAGACGTACACTAATAATTTGCATCAATATATTTAAGTATGAGACACACTTGACTTGAAAAATAAAAGAGAAATAAAGGTTTTTCGTTAATGTCATGTGCGTATGACAGATTTCTTCTTAAGAAGTAGATAGCATCTTGTGCATGAGAAAGAAACGCGTTTGTTTGTCTATACTTTGACGAATTACTACCAGTGAGGTGAATTCTTCAAACTGCAGACAAGAAAAATCAAAAGGCTATTCGATACTTCTGTCTTTCATTTTCTTTTTTCATATTTTATTCTTTTTGCCTACTTCTTTTATTGTTTGGACGAGAGAAACCTTCCCTATACTCACTTATTCTGCTATTCAAATCTGGAATGTCACTTTTACCTGTTGAGAATATTCAAAACTAAAAGAGCAAAGCTTGAATGTTTACTTGACAGATGACATTGTCCGTTGTTCTCCTTCTCCGTCTTTTTCTTCTCTCCTTCTTGATGTCTGCTACAACTAATTGTCTTAATTCATAATTTACTCGCATAATGTAGATTTGATGACGGTTCAATATGTATATTGACGAAACAAACACACGACTCGATTTGTTTGCTAGACGAGATTTTTTTGTTCGTTAACAGGACAACATAGGTGCCGCTTGATAGTTTAATGAAATATTTAACGGGTAAGTTGTCATTTAGTCGACTAAAATAGTATTGATTCAATCAAATAGAGAGCAGGGAATTTCTCTAATGAACAACATGATTATCAAAACGGAGAAGATGATGTACACTGGCAAGTGTCAAAGTTAAACTCGGCAAAAGATGTGAATATCAAGCGAGGTGCAAAGGCAACTTGCTGTGATGCCCGATTAATGGGACTAATTTGGAAGAGAGCTCTTCTTAGCCAGCTTGATCCGTTCATTCAGCCTTCACGCACGATTCTGTATATTATTATTATTATTATTATATAGAAATTTTGTTAGTAGAAGTTGTGATACTTTGCTTATGTTTCTTTGTCATCATCTCTCCAATATAATCTGTTACTTTTCATTCACATGTCGATTATCATATAGAAGGAAGAAGAGATCTGTTGCTTCTCATATTCCATCTTTCTTTCCATCGTATGCATTTCTTTCTTTTCTTTACCCTCGTCAACTTATTTCTGATTGGTTGAGTCGTTCGTCTTATCGTGCCACCAATCATGACCATTCTAATTATCCATTCCGTTCGACGACAAGAATGATGACGTTGAGTGGAAGAGAAATAGAGAGAGGCTGAGAGAAAAGAAAAGAAAAGAAAAGAGAAAAGTATTGATTCGTACCTTAATTAATCTTTTCTGTTCTGATCCAGAGTGTTAGTAATAGTAGTAAGGTTTGAGTGTAAAGAAAAAGAGAGAAATTGGTAATCGAGCACCAATAGCAACCGAGAGACGGAGCGAACGAAAGAATCGTTAGCGTCTCGTGTATGCGTTTATTAGGCGATGGCTGTCTTACAGCTATTATAAAGCAAACGCAAATGTGGAGAAGAGAAAAGAAAACAGTATGATAAAAAGAAAATGATACTGAAACTCAATTCGACGACGAACGAGAATGAGAAAGAGGAGGAAAAAAAATGAGAGAAAGAGAGAAGCGAGAAAGAACAACATCAAGACATAGAGACACTCTACCCACCACCGAGAAAATGATATACATCCAACCTGCGCGCGCGAGCCCGAAAAAAAGAGAAGAAGTGAGAGAGAGAGAGAGAGAAAATATATATATATTCACTACCTCTCTCAACACTTAACGGTACATTGCGTTAAAAAGCAGCGAAGAGAAATAGAGAGACAGAGAGAAAGAAATAACACAAAGAAATATCGAAACACATACGACAAGTGATACCGACAGTCGATAATCCATTCTTTTTCTCTATCTTGTTCTAATGCTCGATTGACTTTGGACAAAACAAGACAATTAATAAGAACACATTTGACAGGTTTGTCTCTATTACTTCTAATTGATCAATTGAAATCAATAAGACTTACAGTGTACTTTTGAAATACAGATAAATGCTATCGATTCGTTAGTTTTCATTCATGTTTATTTATTTGTAGAAAAGCTTGATACTTTCATTTTGTTTAACCACATATAAATCGTCAAAACGTTATCACTCAAGACTCTCCTTCCAGCACCACGTCCGCTATTAGCGAACGGTGGTCTGGTTTCAACGACGTCGCCATCCGCACCTGCGCACAAAACTAAAACATCTACCAGTCGATCGCCTTCCTCATCGTCAGCATCCTCCAAGTCCTCCGCATCCGGTTCATCAAGATCTCGATCTCGATCGCCAATTTCTCGTCGTTCACGATCGTCAACACCTGATAAACCACCAACGCCGTCATCATCGACACCTCCTGTTTCGATCAACAATTCCAATGTATCATCATCATCATTGCTACAACAACAAGCAGCTGCAGCAGCTGCATTGTTCTCTAGCAGTTCACTCAGTTCCCTATTACCAATGTATAGTATGGGTCTTTTCCCAATCCCTCCTCCACCTCTACCGCCGCCGATATTGCCAGCAGTGAATTTCTCATCGGAACAAATTGCTCGTGTTTGTGAAACATTAGAAGAAAATGGTGATATTGATCGTTTGGGAAGATTCCTTTGGTCATTACAAGTTGCACCAGGATCAGCGAATCTTTTAGTGCAACATGAAAGCATTTTACGCGCCCGTGCACTCGTCGCATTTCATTTGGGCAATTATCGCGAACTGTATCATTTATTAGAAAATCATAAATATACGCGTGATTCACATGCAAAATTGCAAGCCATGTGGATGGAAGCACACTATCAAGAAGCAGAAAAACTACGCGGAAGACCACTAGGACCAGTAAGAATCTTGAGAGTATGATTTCTCATCTCGATCTTGTTTCTCATGATTTAGGTCGATAAATATCGTGTTCGCAAGAAGTATCCTCTACCACGTACGATATGGGATGGCGAGCAAAAGACTCATTGTTTTAAAGAACGAACACGTTCACTACTAAGAGAATGGTATTTACAAGATCCATATCCAAATCCAGCCAAAAAACGTGAACTTGCACAAGCTACAGGATTAACGCCAACACAAGTAGGCAATTGGTTCAAAAATCGACGTCAGCGTGATCGTGCAGCTCAAGCAA